GCAACAGCAACCAAATGATTTATTAGTATTTTCAAAGCGACTTCCGTCTCCTACAGCAAGTCCATCAGCCAGTATTTTAAAACGTAAATTTCATAATGATAGTCTTGAAGAAGCATCTGTAGAATCACCTGCGTATAAACGTAAAAGAGTTAGTTTCCATGATCCACCTGTATCAGTTACAAAAGAATTTGTAAAGGATCCTGAAGATAATAAAAACAGACCTAAGCGGTTAGTATATATAATATTATTGATAATGTGTTTTTTTTAATTTTTTTTTTTTATAGCTGTCTTCTTTTAGAAAAAGTTCAAAGTACTCCCGACAGTAAACTTAAAAGACGAAGCAAAATCGAGAGCTTAAATGAAATGAAAAATCTACAAACAATTAGTGGCCAAAAAAATAAAATTTCCGACAAGGCCAATAGTAGTTCAACAAACAATGTTATAAATATTGATAATGACAAAATTTCTCCACCTTTATTAGATGAAGCAAATGAAAACATGCCTTGTCCTGAAGATGCACTAAATACAGTTGTTCAACAGTTTCCATTGGAAACGGTATTGGAAAAATATTTTTCAACAGACACGAATTCGGCAGTAAGCCTTTCAAATGTTTTGGCAAAATTTGTTTCAAATTACATGAGTTCAAATCAAAAAATTAGAACCAACGTTTTAGATATATTATCAGAAGATCATTCAAAAGATTTTTTGGATCATGCAATACAGGAAAATTTATCAACCGTAGTGTGTGATCGTTTAAATTTGAATTCAGTTATTGAATATATATGCGCCAAGTCAAAAATTAATACTACATGTCGTAATAATCTAATAACACAAATTCCATTCATATTTAAACATTCGAAGCTAGAAAGTGAAAGAATTGACTTTATTAAGGACTTGATGCGTCAGAATAATTTAACCGATACAGAAATAGTAAATTTATTATCTTCAATAATGCAAATGCGTGCAGTTTGTGACAACAAATCAGTGGGAGTATCTGAATCAGCTGTGGATTCATCGTCAAATTTGTAAACACGCAAAATTTAAATGGTTTTTATATTATTTTATTATACTACATATATTATTTTAAATCATTATTTATAAAACTTTGAATTCATTATAATTTAAACAATATTCAACTTTAATTGTTGATTACATTATGTCCTATTATATACTTTAATTTATCTGACTGCCATAGTAAATTAAAAAAAAAATACTTTGTATTAAGATAGAACTTCAAATATTATTCGAGCTGTTCGAAAATGTACGCATTTTAATGTTGTTGTTGTAGCCAGCTGGGTAGTCCGCTTGAGTAGTATCTTTTGATTGTGGTGAACGGCACTTTGTTGTGGAGCTCGACGTTTGGTTCCAGGACGTAGACCCGGCTGTTCTTGGAACTTTTTTTAATGTTCGAGAGCGTGCTTGTATAAACACGAAATGGTGCTGGAATGTTTGCTATTGTTTTTTTGTATAAAACAAATAAAAAGAAACATAAGTATTTTTGTTGTTCGAGCAGCTCAAATATATTTAAAAAATTCGAACATTTTGAAACATTTGAAGTATGGTCGAACACTTTGAAGCACTAGTTAAGATTAAATAATTATAAAATATTTACTAAGATATTTTGTGAAAACCACACAAATCAGATTTTTTTAACCGTTTTCTTTTTATTTGTGTGTTTTAATTATATAGACATATATATATATATTTTTTAAAAAAAGAGAGCTCTAAATATAGTAAAAAATACTTTTTAAACTTTTTGTTGAATTCAAAAACATTTGTAATGTTGGTATTGTTATTGTGGTAGCGTAGAAATAAGCTATGTTCAATATTAAATAGATCTCTATCATTCGTAAGTCCTGAAAAAGTGCAGTAATTTTATATATATAAATATTTTCAGTGGAAATTAATAATTTATTAAAGTGAATTTGAAATTAAAAAGAACTTAATTATCAGAGTTATCAATTTTTAATTTACAAAAGAACTTCTATTAATGCTTGTAGAGATAAAATATTTTGATCTTAATAATTATAATTTAATTTTGTATATATAGATATATTTTTTTTAATAAATTTTCTCTTTATGTACAGTTATATTCTTATAAAAACTTTTAATTTGTTTATTAATTTTTATAAATAACGTAAATAAAAACTCACCTGATTGGTTGATTAACCCTTTTTTAAAAGACTTATATATTTCTTTACTATACAAAGATATTGGCAATAGAATAATCATAATCAAAAGGAAATATATGTTATAATAAAAAATAGTTAATAACTACCACTGGAATATATTGTTAACGCTGTAATTTTAGACAACTTTAAACTAAAAATAAAAACTAAAAACTTTTTAATTGTGTGTTAAAGTATATATATTTAAGTTATATTATTTAAGAAAATAAATAGCAAATGAATGTCTTATTGAATTAAATTGTATAAATATAATTATTGTATAAAACTGTACTCACATTTTGGTGGTGAATAAGAAAGTGTGCAATTACAGTACTTCATCTCCAAGTTTTTCCTTAAGACTGCCATGCAATTCGAAAAACTAAAAAAAAAGTATTTTAAAATCTATTTACATATTCTAATACAAGTATATTAATACAAGTATTAAAATAATATCGCGAACCTAAAACTTTACCATTATTTTTATGTTATAATGAAAAAAGTACGTGTTAGAGATAAAGTTTGAGTGTATGTAACAATCCTGCTAAAGTTTAGCTAGTGTAGACGCGAAGTCAATGTAGAAGTTGAAACCATTACAGAGTGCTTTTACAGAGTTCTATAAACTGCTGTATGTTCTAATAGCTAAACTGACAAGAGGATTTCTCAATAATCGGTATTTCAACAAAGCGTTGGAACAAAAAAAAAACTTAAACTTAACTTTTATTATTCTCAAATTGTCCTTAAAACTAAATTTTTATAATTAATGTTGATGAGCAGCATGTAATGTATATATACTTACTCCTATTCTTAAATCTAAGTGGAGAATACGGCTTTAATAATCTTCCAAGTAATATGTTACTGTAAATACATTTCAAACTCTATTATGCGCTACGTCTTAAACGAAAAACGCTATGTGGTCATAAGTGGTTCACTTTCCAAATGTAAAGTCTGTAGTTTTTTTTTCCACAATTATTTGTTTTATATTTGCTAAAGCCACCAAATTCATAAAAATTACCTCAATCATTTGTTGATGGCAACTAAGATGCGGTTTTTTATAGTACTCCCATAGTACATCTTTGATTCAACGTTGAATATAAACACGCGGAATGGAATTCATAATAATATTAGATTATATATTTATACTACTAAATGCATCAAACTGAACGCAGATTTATTTTCTATTAAATGCACACTTATATCTTTGCAAATATACATAATTGTAGATTCTAGTTCCGGAGTCGCTGTTTTCTCCCTAATCGAGATCAAATTCGAATTGTAACAAAAATTGAAATAAGTCTTTGTTTTACATATTTAAATCTGTCATGTTTTTTGTTTTGAATTAATTTTCGAAATAACAATTTTAATATTTTATGTTAAGCTTTAAATTGCGGCTCAATATCTCCTATTCCCGTAAAAAATTTTCATTGGAAATTATTTTGACTTTTATGAGAAAAACTTAAAACCTTTTATCCAGTTAGGATCAATTTTTAACAGAAAAGATCTACTATACTTGTAATGCTTCGCTCCACTGACAGTCTAAACTCTAGTCATATCTTGCTTTAGAACTTTAACAATTTCATCAAAAGTGTGGTATTAATTTGTTCAGTATAATTTTATATAAATTTTTCATAAAAAATAGCATTTTATTGCATATTTGTCGAGTTAAGTAACTTAGTCTAAACATAGCATTAAAAAAAAAAAATTGATACAAGGTCAAATAAATGCCTATTTTCCACTATGTCATTTTCAATGTCGAATATTGTCAGTATAATGAAAATAGGTAGTCATATGATGTCATATTCGCCTTCATGTCATGTAATGAAAACGTATTTGACACACCAGTCAATTATGATTGTCATTTAAAATGACATAGTGAAAACAAGGCATAAGGTATTAAAGTTATATCTAACTATTGTGTTTTTTTATTATATTATTACTTATATCAACTTTGTATCAATACCATTGTTTTACTTATATATGTGCTATGTACATATATTGTATATTAAATTCCATTCTTAAAATAAATTTGCTTAAAGATAGAATAAAAGACTACATTAACAATATGATTAAATAATAACGATATTCAGATGTGCTTGGTAAAGTGATGGTTTTGTTTATTTTAAATATCAGGTGTAATATTTTTTCAGTATTCAGTAAAACTTCAACTGATTCATATTACTGCGTAGTGTTTTTTCTAGCATTACTATATTTTAATATAAATCAAAAGAAGCAAAAACAAAATTAGCTACTTTCACCAGTTCAATTGTACAACATACCGAAACTTTTATCACTTTACGGTTACGTCTGAATATCTCTAGTATTTATAAATATTTCATACCTGTAAGGATGGTTTGAATCGTAAAGTTTTTCGAAAGGAAATTTACACTTTCGTTTACTGGGGTTTTCCCTACCCACATTTATATCATTTTGAACTTCTTCAATTTTATAGCAATTAACCATTGGGTCAAGAGATAAATCAATACTAATTGTATTAAAATATGGAATGTCTATATGGCTATGTACGTACATCTAGAAAAATTATATGTCAGATAGTTTGCGAATATATAAAATAGTACAAATTTTTTAGTTACCTCGTATTTCCAAAAAGATCCACTTTTTAACATTACTTCGAAAAGGTTTTTCTTTTCAGATATGTAATACTTTAATGGTAAATTGTGCGTTGAACCACTAAAAAAAATTTTAAAAAGTTAAAAATAATTTTGTAAATTATTATTAATATTCATTTAGATCAGGGCTGTCCTGATCAGATGCGATCGAGGGTCAATACAAATTACTGTATAGATTGGAGGGCCGCAGAATCAAATACATTCGTTCATAGATGTTATTATAAATACATCATATCAATTTAAAATCGGTTATAATGTTAAATTTCGTTGTATTAATTTATCAATTTAAATTAATTTATTTGTTATATCATAAAAATAAAATAATGTGGTTTTACTAGTACACTAAAAGAATATTTACGCACAAACATTAGCCGCGGGCCGTACTTTGGACAGCCCTGAGTTAGGTAATGATCGTGCTCTATCTGTTATATATAAATAAGTTTTCATATTAAATATTGTGTATAAATATAATATAGCATAATATTATAATATAGTACAATATAGTATAATATGCATATTATAGAATTTCAAAATAAATCAAAACATATTTTAAATACAACAAAAATTAATTGATGAGTTCAAGCACTATAACTAGGTTTTGCATAGTAAACATTTTGTTAGTCTGTTATGCCCTTTATAGGTTTTATATGGTAACCAGAAATGGATGTATTAGCGAGTACGTTAGGCCTTTTGCTTCGGTTCAAAATTATATATATTTATTTTCACCATATTTAATCATTTACAGCATTTTTAAAACTTTTGATATAAATTGTATATGCTTACTAATCAATGATGTTATTTGCTAAATAACAATAACCCATTTCCAATTCATGAAATTTAAAGATTTTGCTACAGTTGTTGTAGGATTTGCCTCTGAACTTTATGTTTTTCATAAAACTATGGCAAGATCTGGGGAGCAGCTGAAATAGAAAAATTACATTTTGAATAATTTTTATTAAGATCTATGTAGATATATTAAAAATTCTATATTTCTAATTTTAAATTGATCATCTATTGATTATTTAATTAAATAAATATTTAATTTACCAGCTTTCTTGCTAGATGTATATCAATTCCACATGTGGCATTTAATCCATCACAGTATTCATTTTTGACATTTAAGTTATTTGGATTTATAAAAAGATAATCATTTATATTTTTCGCAAAATTATTTTGTGAAACTTGATAAGGAATATTTTGTTTCTTAATTAATTGAAGTATTTCAGTACTTGACTTATGTTTAGTTAAACAAAAGCTTATACCAGGAAATATATTTTCCCAATCTAAGTATGTAGTTTCTATTCCAATACTTATAGAATCATAAAAATATCGGTTTATTAATAACACAAATATTTGGCTTAAATTCCAGCATAAAGCAAATACAGTGACAATCCAAAATAATCTGAAATAAAAATGTTGCAAAATGTTAGATTTATATACAAAAAATAATATATAATTTCATAATATAATATATATTTATAAAAATAACACAATATATCTTAAAGTTCTCACTATTGAAATCTCTATCAAATAAAATTCATATAAATATGTTTTTTATTTTACAATAAAACATTAACAAAATTAATAAAAAAAATGTATTGTACTGTTTTTATATTTTATATATATATGAATTAAAAATATATATACGAAATTACTTTGTGCAATTATTATTCATATTAAAATAATACGACTAAACTGCATTATTCAAAAAATGTATTATTTACATTTATTTAATTTATTTTTAAATACATATTTATATGCATTCATATATGTACGTATAAATTAATTTAAAGGGTGCGTGATAATAAAACATTAAAAAGGAATTAAGTTTTAATAGTGACCTAATATTAGGACATGGTTTGTTAAAATATATAGTACGCATCTTATGAGCATTTGATGTAGTAAAATATTTTTAAATAAAATACAGTCGTCACTCGATACTTTCAATCTCCGATAATTTAAACAGTTGGGAAACTTACAAGCATAACTTCAATGCGAATATGTATTATTTTAAAATTTTGTCTGCAAATCTTTATCTGTTAGTGGAAAAATTACACTGTAGGCAAGAATGTTGCCAAAAGTCTATCCCATGTATTCGTTGTCAGTTCCGCTGTTCTAAATCATATGGGAATGGGAGTTTTGTTCTCTGTTGCCAAATCCCTTTTCCTGAATCAAATGGGAATGGGACCTTGTCCCAACCAAATTGTGTGGGAAATTAGTTAAAAAACGTTAGAAAGACTAACTTAACATGTACATAAATTATAATGATCAGATTTTTGAATATATTTTAATAAAATTATTATTATAACAATACCATATTATTATTATTGTAACTTTATTATAATATATTTAATTTTTTTATTTCATCTGCACTGGTTAATCAGCTTTCCGAATATGCTTTAATAACATAATTATAATAAATTTAATATATTTAAATTTTCATTTATAATATTTTATTAAAATTATTATTACAATAAAATTCTTATAATAAAAGTATTTAAATAGTATTTATAAAATTAAAAATAATAAATTGCAAAAAATTCTGGCTATAGATTTATCAATTTAATAAAACGACAGGCGTACCCAGCCATATTACATTTATAACAGAAAAGATATACTAGCGAGCCATAAATAGTCTAGTAGTGAATTAGTATTTCATAAAAAAATTATGTTATCAATATTGTTTAATTTATTATTTAAATTTTTTAATGAATATTCAAATTAAATTGTAAGATTGGCAGTCTAGTATGTGAATATTATTGTTTTATTAATGAGTAGCAAAAATATGCTCACACACATTTATCTATATCAAAAACAATTATTTAGTATTTGTTTAGTTCGAGTAAATTGATAGTAAATTGAGGTAAATAGTAAATTATGTCGGTATGGCAGCGAATGTTGGCATTTACCAGATTTTCGAGTAGGGCAAGTTTGATATAAATTAGGTATTACCATTGTGATCTTATCACCATTGTGATAAGATGTTTAATAAATAAATAAATAAATTTGAAAACTTTAAACCAAAAATAATAAATAAGTGCAATGAATAAATAAATAAATATTTACATAAGTGCAGTGTAAAAAATTCCTAAGAAATTACAATTTACTTTACCTCAATTTACTCGAACCCGCAAACCAACGAGCTTGCCATACTATTCAAATTAACAACTTCACTTACAAAATTTTAATTCACCACACTTGAATGGTCAATTTGACATATTATTAAATGAAATTCTAAAAATATATTTTTGAGTGATGGTATTATAAAAATATTCTTTAATATATATCATCCTGTGAAAAAATTAAAGTTTGTTTCATTCAGCCATTCCGTGTACTAAGGAGTTTCTCAATGTTTTTGTTTATGTTATTCATTAAATTTTAAATTTTAAAGAAATGTCAATTTTATGTAGGCAGCATAGTATAATGAATTCAAAAAGATTTGCAATCAAGTTTTTGTTACTGGTTATATTTGTTCTTGTATTGGATTATGTTGGATTGTTTAAAATATTGTGCGAGTTGGAGTATGAATTGTTATTTAATTACCCGTCCGGTGGCTTCGAAAAAACGATAGGTAATGATACAATACAATTCCGAAATGAAAACCCAACAAATTTCTACAACTACAGTTTTACACATAATCCAAAACAAACATGTAACATATCTCCGTTTATAACTTTTTTAATAAAGTCAGCACCTGGAAATATAAAGCAACGTAAGGCCATCCGTCGGACATGGGGTTTCGAGGAACGCTTCTCTGACGTCATTGTAAGACGAATATTTTTGATTGGCTTAACAACAAACAGTTTGCAAGCAGAAATTAATGTTGAAGCAAAAAATTACAACGATATTGTGCAAGCAGATTTCATCGATGCTTATTTTAATAATACCATTAAAACCATGATGGGAATGCGTTGGGCAAAGGAACATTGTCATAGTCAGTATTATATGTTCGTTGATGACGATTATTATGTATCACTAAAAAATGTATTACAATTTTGTCGTAATAATGCAAATATAAACAAAGGTTATGCTAGTATTAACACAATAGACCAGAATGAATTGGTAGAATATCTTTACGCTGGTTATGTGATACAATCAAAACCACAAAGACAAAAATTTAGTAAGTGGTATATATCTTTAGAAGAATACCCTTTTAATAAATGGCCTCCCTACGTAACCGCTGGAGCATTTATTTTATCACAAAACACTCTAAAAAAACTATATGATACTAGTCTGTATACCAAACACTTTCGATTTGATGATATTTATTTAGCTATTGTAGCACTTAAAAGTGGAATAAAATTAACACATTGTCAGGAATTTTATTTCCACAAACCAACTAGTGCCGAGAAATATCGTAATTTAATTGCTTCGCATGAATTTTCGGATCCGTCTGAATTGGAAGAAGTGTGGAACAAAATGCGCTCAGCTGGCTATGCATAACAATATATAAATATATTAGTATATCCTTATGGCACTAAATTATTCAAATATAATATGTAAATAATTTTATAATGTATATTTATAAATACTTAATAAAAATTATTCTAACACTTTACAGTACAATTATTTATAATTTTTTATCGAGGCAATGCGTGTCTACCACCTCTCGAAGAAGGGAGACCAGAACATCTGATGTGTCTATGTCCAGGTTTAGCCAGAATTAGGCTTAAGTTTCTAAGCGTCTCCTTCTTCAACACACTCGGCGATATCATTAGCATTGGCATTGTCTTTATAAATGCCTCTGGCTGGTTCTAGCTTGATTTTCTTTCTACTACCCACTATTACGAGGATTTGCGGATTCAAAACTGCTAATTGAGGAGGACACGTTCCTCAGTTCACCATAACTAACTAACTATTAACGCTATTAAATAAAAAAATTTAATATAAATTTTATAAGTTTCGTTTCGTACCACGTTTATCAAGTACTCTAGGATGTTACTCTAGGATTTACAATTTCAGCATTGCGAACAAGATGAATTGCTGGTTTACATAGTGTATGCGTATTTCATCTCCATTCTTTTGTTTAATTGGTCAGACATTGATTCGTAGTGATCTTATTTTTTTCATCATCTTATCTGTCATTTTTTATTTGTAGTGTAGTAGATAGATGCGATACCTTTAATACCCTTGTGCTAGTTGGCAAATCGGAGAAATACAGTTTCAAAACTAATCTTTGAATTAGCATCATTCCTATCACTTCTATTCGTACTTAAACATCTTATATTTAAACCTATGAATGACAAACTTAAAGACTATATGTTTAAATAGCAAGTAGATTTATTAGAAAAAATCACTCACATAAGTCGTTGTACGGACACTAAAATTGTAAATTGTATTCGTTTTCCATATATATTTTGGATCCTACTGGATTTGGAGAAACATAAATTATTCTATGACTATGTTTTTTAAGTCCTCTTACCTCGCCTAAGTAGGAATCCACAAGGAGAATTTCTTCACAGAAATGATATTATTGTTGATAAGTTAAACTTGTAAATGACGTATTATCCATATTAATAATAGCCTTACTAATTATTTCAAGAGGCAACAAGGAAAATTTATGTGGGCATAGGTTTCCCGAAGTAGAAAATCTATATAGCTTTGTTGTTATTTACCCTATATTTTTATGAAAAGTGGTGATGTTAACCAGGAAAATTTTAATAGGAGAAGACGTGGTTAGAAATTCGGTAAAACTACCGATTAAATAAAAATTTAATGTATTTTTGTTTTTATGTAATTACTACGTTAACGAATTATTGAGAAATCAGAATTATTTAACAAAATGAACTACTTTAGTAGTGCCGGGTGCTTAGCCGGTTGTCATTTAATCATTTTACTGAAAATCAACTTATTGAGCAACTTACGAATACCTCTAATATAGGTTAAATGAAGCGTAAATAAACTGACAAGAGGATACTAATTTTCTATTAGCTTTTTTGAAGTGATATATCACCAAATCAAAAGTTTTAAAAATTTAAAAGGGATTTCATCACATCTTATGGTTCTTTGGATTGTATATCTAATAATATCATGTTATTGTTCACAACATTTCTCAGGTAATTTTCTGAATACCAACAAGATTTTATTCAGCAATTTTTGAAATAAAATGTCGCAGACTTATAGTTAAATTATACTTTGGAATATATCTTGTCTGTAATATCATATTTGTTCATTTTTCAACAATTTCTAAAATTACATACAACCTTCAATATACGTCTAATAGCTGTTATGAGAAATCCCCGATTTCTGAAATTTTTGGTAAGTCTGTTCATCAGTATGAAGGCTGTTGCAAAGTTAATGTCAAAACTATCCGAAATTTTTGATATGTCTGTTACATAGTATGTAGACTGTCCCATAAAGATATAAGTCAACAATATGTTTGTTAGCCAATATGTAGGCTATCGTATAGATACAAAGCTAAATGGTCCAAATCTTCCATTTATAATGCATTAGGGCAATGGAACTGCATTAGCAAATAGCAAATCTGCCACCTATAACTGAATGAAACTATAACTCCATTGAATAAGTCTCTAAGTGGTATCAGTAAAAATGCGGAAGTCTATGGGTGTCTTCTTGATATTAGCCAGTCCAACTTAATTTCGTAAAAACAACTAAGTTAACTAAAATACATAAATGGTGATGGTGTATATTTAATCTATATTTTACTAATATTTATACATACTCGCCATATTTTCTACTTATTTCCAAATTATATTGCTTATTGTGTAATGGTACATTGAAATATCTCTAAAAACAAAATGAAAATTTTAAAGAAACTTATTTTAAAACAAAATTTCGTAAATATAAAAACGATAATGATAAAGAGTATTAAATCAGGTGCCAGCTTAATATATCGCTTAACCTAAATAACCGAATGGAGGATATGGTGGTGGAAAATAACCTGGGAATGGGATCGATGGTTGAACAGGTACTGATGTTGTTATTATTTTTGTAACACTGGTTGGTACGACAATTGTGGATAAAATCGTAGTGGTTGCGGTTTTTGCACCGAAAGTCAATTTTAGAGTTTTGCTATTTACTTGAGTAGCCAAAGTTTGTTCTATAATTGCTGATGTAAGAGTGTGGAACTGCTGAGTGGGTAGAATGAATGGATTTATGGTAGGTGCGGAAGGATAAGATGTTATTGTAGAGCTATCCAAATGATATTCTGTTCTGTCAATAGTACCAATCGATTTTGAAAGCGTTCTAAAGCTTGTTGATTGTCCGTTTATTATAGGAATAACATGTGATTCCCAAATTGTTTCGATTTTAATATAAGGTTGTGATGTTGTAATAACTGTGGAGAAAGGCATGGTTTGTTGGAAGAAATTTAAATAGGAATTTTGTTGTAATGAATTTATATCTGGCTTAACAATGGGACTGTGCAAAATATCTTCTGCTTTATTGTTGGGTTGTTTGTTTTTATTCTCATTTGGTGCAAACACATTGTCATAGTCCCCAAAATCCAAATCCAAATTTATTTCTGAACCAGCCTCATCTAAATTTCCAGCAAAGTCTTTGAAGTCCTTCGAAGGATTAAATTGATAGTCATCATGTGAAAATATAGTTTTTGTTGCAGTGATTAGAGTTGTCAAATCATATTTTTGTACAAGAGTTAATAAAGTTGTTTCATTAGAAAAATCTTGAACAATAGGCAATATCTGCGTTTTGTATTTGGTTTGAGTAACACTGAATGTTTCTGTTACTGTCTCTAAACTTGGTGTTTCAGCATTTTCAGTAAGATGTAGAGGTTTTAAAGTAGACACACTACCATCCAAAAAATTTGAATCAATTTTAGTTGTTTCGGCAAGAATATTTTCCGTTAAGGGTTCATCTCTGGTCGCGCTTATGTTTACCTGTGTAGTTGGTTCAATATGCTTTTCAAATGTTGATGTCACTGTTATAAAACGCGTCTTTTTAACAACACCAGCCTGAAATACAAAAAATATATATACATATATGTATATTAGAACATATACAAAAAAAAAAAAATAATGTTACATACTTGAAAAGTGAACGGTTGTTTTATTGTTGCAATTTCATAGTATGTGTCTTTAAAATCAGCTGGTGTGGATATTTCAACATTAAGCGTTTCAGCATACGCATGGGGTTTTAGTTCATTACCGTTATTGATTATAGGCGCATTTTGAGAGCCTAATCCCTCAAGTTCTCCTTGATCCGATATAACATTTTGATCAATTTTATCTTGACTTATGAGATTACCACTTTCAATGGTAGCTACAGAAGGACTGACATTTTCATTTATAGCCTTACGAATAGAAACCGTTGGCTTAGGTTTCGATCTGTATTGCCATCTACCAGGCGTACGATTAAGTTTAGATAAGAATAAACTGCTTGGTAATTCAGTTTCTGTTGAAGACGGTTGTATTTTAGGACGAAATGATTTACGATTATTAGTTTCAGGGACAACTGTTGCTGACACAGGTCTTACTTTTTGAGTTGCTGTGGCTCTTGATCCTTTATGTCTTCTAAAAATAAAACAAAAATAAAAAAAATAAATCAGTTATGTATGGTTTATTCGTATTTGTCACCTTTTTGTTTTTGTTTTTGTATTAGAAGATGATTTGTGATGGTCTGCATTTGTAGACGATTCTGTAACAGATTTCGAACTGCTCTTATTTGGATGAGAACTTGTTCTACGATTTTTTTTGGATGGTAAACTATTTGGATGAGGAGCTTTTTGATTTGATTTTGATAATTGAGGGGCAGAGGTTTTTAATATTCTTAAAGATGATGTTGGTCGTAAATTTGGTTTTTTATTTTTATAAATATAGGATGAACTATGGAGTACTTGTGTATATTTATCTGAAACATAGTTGCCAATTACACTTGTATCATATACATAGGTCACGCCATTCTTCACTTCTGTCCCACTTAGTTTTGTAATCAATCCAACAGGATGGCTAGTAGTTGGTTCACGAGTTTTTAAATTATTTTCAGCACTGGGATTTCTATCACGATTACGTGATATTGATTTAGGATTAACAATACGATATGTTTCTTCTGCGTATTCTAATGGTTGTCGTGACAGTAAATCATATTCGGGTTGATCCTGATTATTTTCAACCTGAATAGCAATTACCTTTGATTTCGAAGGAATATCATTTTCTATTGGCTTTGAACTTTTTTTCGCAATTACTTTTTCAGAAACTGCTGGTGTACTTTTTACTTCCTCTTTGATTTCTGTTACAACATTCACTTTAGCAGAAGATGGTTTATTCTGATTTTTTAGTTTGGTCGGTTTTATACCATTTTCAACGTTTTTTTCAATATTATTTAGTGGATTTGTTTTAATTATATCATCTGATAAATTTAATTGTTCTAAATTATAAAATATATTTGTATTTATTTGCATTAATAAAATATTTAAAGATATTTTAAACTTACGTAGTGAAGGTGCACTTTGTGGTGAAAATACCATAACGGTATCACCAATTGTTGTGGTGAAATCCAAAAATCCATATACAGTTTGAGTAACATAGTTAATGTTATCGGAACATATCAGTTGTACTAAATAATATTTATATTTTTAATTTTATTATTTATTTAATAAAAATATATGAGAGAAATTAAATTTTATTTTATACGCAGTGTCTACAAAAATAAATATTTGATAGTAGTGAGACACAGACATAATTCGTGTTCATGGAGACTTCCTATTATACAATAACAATTACTTATAATATTTTATATAAATCAAACTTAAATTTTGGTGAGCTTGAAATGTGGAACTTTTTCAACCTTTTTGCAGTTAACTATTGTCCATCTACAGCTATCTTATTGGGATACCTTTTATTCTTTCTATAAGACACCCCATGAACAAATGTAAAACGTATTAAAACATGTATACTATATTATGTACTTATATTATGTATATAATTACATATATATACTCATACTACATACTTACCTTTACAATATTATTTATATGGTTTGATAAGAAAATTATATACTGTTTACTTTTGGCGGATGCTGTAAATATTTCTCTTTAAATGAATTTGATTAATAATTCTTAGCCTTAAATAACAAATTTCTTATAACAAGTATTATTAATTTATTAAATTTCTCGACTTCCTTATATTGATTTATATCATATTAAACATCTAATATCGGCAGTATATTCAACATAATATTTTTATACTCACCATTTAATATGACCAAAATTATAAAAATTCTGGAATCCATAATACATTGAAGTTTTTAGTTTACAATTTCTTTAATTTATAAAGTAAATTTACATAGCGAATGAATCTGAAATTATAAAATACTTGTTAAGTTTTCTTTAAAAATTTATATTGTAAAAATTTATGCCTTGAAAGTATCTTAGACTATGCTTATATATATCTTGATTATGGTGTTAAAACAGATTTTTAATATAAAAATAAATTATCCTGGTATACAAAACTAAATTATCTTTTAACTATACTTTCTAATATATTTTACATGCTTTCAAAAGCAAAGGCTGGAAACAATACTAAAAATACAAATACGAATAATCCTCAAAAACGTAGGATTGATCAGACTTACTTGAAATAAAAGACACTCCAAACAATTACAGAAGAAATACAGAATAAGTGGATTTTCACACTCTCCGCTGTTATAAATATGATTGTTCTAGTCTTTTGTTTAACGCTCAATAGTAAGAGGAAAAGGTAAAACATTTACATCTACAGTGTCACTGCTCTTCGTTACAACTTTAAGGTCACCCAATCCAAAAATAATAGATTAATCTAACGCTCAATAGTAAGAGGAAAGAGTAAAATATTTACATCTATATCTACAATGTCACTGCTCTTGGTTACAACTTTAAGGTCACCCGATCCAAAAATACTAGATTAATCTAACGCTCAATAGTAAGAGGAAATGGTAAAATATTTACATCTACATCACTGCTCTTCGTTGCAACTTTAAGGTCACCCGATCACCAGATTAATTAACTAAATATGGCTAAATACTAAATGGCAAAATTCTTTAAGGGATCAAGGTAATATTAAATAGGTAAAAGAAAATAAAGTGTTTTAGTGGCCTCAGTACATCGATAAGATAATGGATCTTATTAGATAATATATATCAGTATATATTACTATATTTTATAGTAAAGATATAAGTAGAAGTTTTAAGACTTCAAATTTATTTTTATAATTAAGTTATAAAAAAGAAATAAATTCAGTGGGCTATCAATTGACAGCCCATTTTTATTTGATGTTCCATTATGTTATTTTTTATTTTATTTTACTTTTATTTATTTTTTTTTATTTTATGTTTTACTTTAATTTTATTATAAAATAGATCCAGTGTTAGGATAAAATATAAGCTAAAGTCGCTGCAATAAATTTTTTCTTCTCCCTATCCTTCCGTCTAAAAATATGACATGTACCCTTTATGCATTGATCGCTTCAAATAATGAAAAAATGAATGAAATAAATAAAATTTTTAATTTAAATGTTTCCCATTGTCAAAATTATAATACATATGAGAAAGACCTATTCTTACTAATACATATTTTTATAAATTCGTTCTTATACATATATTATATTTAGACGATCATATTAATCATGTTTAAATACCTTTCTGACAGTGATGACCTTTGGTATATTACATAGAAAAAAAGAACTGTGTGTTTTAGTCATAATTACTTAAACTAAGGCAATAAATCAAGTTGTTTATTAAATGGTAGCCCAAAAACTGTGTAGTACTCGTAAAGCAAAATTTTATAATTCAGTGCTTTGCTATCTATACACACAAGTTATTATCTTAATAACATTTTATTAACAAATAAAATTATTAAGCACATACAACGGATTAAAGAAGCTTTGAAAAACTGGTTTTAAATTTAATTTGAAATTTATAATAATTTAAAAGATTAATATCAACCCTTTATATGAATGGAGTCCAAATGCATTATAATAATCAGTTAGCGACAAAAACCATTTTATTGATGTAGTTCAACACCACATATAAGACGAATAAAATATCGAGTTTAAATAAATAATAAACAATAATTCATATTTACTCGTATATTTTAAAATAATCAATATTGGTTTCGTAAATATTTGTATACTTTTCACGCAGTTATGTTGAAAATTCATTAATAAAAGTTTATCAAATTGTTTAGATGGTCAGTTGGTTAAGGTGCGTTAACTCTGAGCTTCAAATTTGGCAGGACATAAGTTCGATTCCTAGTACTTGCAGTATTAAAACAAAAAAATTATTTACGAATAATTAAATACAAGAAGTATTTCTAAGACTACTGATGGTGGGTATTTGGGAATACTCGAAATAGATGTATGGTCAGCCAATCAATTTATTTCAATTAGTTAAAATAATATAAAATAAATTATTGTTGTTGTAGTTTACTACTGTTCGAAAAAACTCTTTAGATAATTTTATTAAAATAAGTCCAATCTATATATCTTCATGAAATGTTTGACATAATTTCGATTTCTCGATACTAAAATTTGGTGAAAAATTATTAATAAAATGAAACTTTTATCTGTTACATTAGATTTTATAGAAAGTAAAACTTAAATATAAATCAAATAAATCTATTAGTTGTCATATAATTAATTACAGATATTTGAATGTACAGTTTATAACAATTAAATATAATAACTAATAAATAGTTAATATAATAATAAAGTGCATACATTAGAACTTCGATCTTATCTCTCAGTTTGTATAACAGTTATAAAAATTTGTTTACCAATGATCTAGTTTTTGATGATGAGTATTATATGGAATATAAGTTATAATATAATATAAATTAAAATGAAAATCAGTCAAGAAGGGCAGCGCCACAACAACAAAATAGATTGCAAAACTGGTTTTAACTATTTTTTAGTCTATAATTTGTTATTGTTCAATGACTTTTCTTAATAAAATGGACTGTAACATTTCAATTAAATAAAAACATATTCTACAAAAATATGAGGCGGTACCATCTATTTATAACGGGTTTATAACGTTACATGTGTAGATGAGAACAAATGGCGACGATTAATCTTCCCTAAAAACTGAGATAAACTATGTCTGAACTCTATTAATCGCATCAAAACAGATAGATAACCAGAGGACAGTCAAAATATGTTATAACATTACTTTTTGACCAGATATATTTTTCGATTTACTGCTATTTACTGTTAATTTTAAATGAAAATCAGAGAATGGATTAAAGTAAATAAAAAGTAAATAAAATGAGTAATGTTTGCATATATTGCAGACAGAAAAGAAACGAGATTTGTGCAGTTGTTAAGTACAATTTGGTGTAAAAATTTTAACAAGGTTGTAATTTTAATGTTGACGACGTACAATTGTGATAGCTTTGCCAGAAATAGCTTATTGATATTGTTTTTAATAATCCACAAGTGAATGTGGACGAAAATTGTGGATCCCAAGTAATGATTTTTAAACAATGTACAGAGAGGATTTAACATCTCCTAACTACATTTCGATTCATTATTGTGTACGAAACATAAATAAATGACCACAGACCTGAGATTAATACCATAAATAATCGGATCAATAAACTCTACCGAATCAGTACCGAAAACAATAGAGGCAATGAAGTCGGTGGGAAATGCGATGACCACAGTTAAAATTTACATTTTATGTTCGTGAAATGGTTTAAAATGGTTATATATGAATTATAAATATTATTATTATTGAAAAAGAAGGGATAGTGCACTGGAACCTAAAAGATCTATTGTGCCCTTAGTCGGATTAGAGTGTTTCTCCAAGTCCGATTTTTTTAATGAAACATAGTATAGAGCCTATCTTTCTTAGTCTTGGATCTTTATGATCCATGAAATACCCTCCTATGTGTTTCTTCCGCTTGTGCATCAGTGCTGGGCACTCCCCAAGCACATGGTATGCAGTTTCTCTCTCTTCTGTACAGTATCTGCAGTATGAGTTGGTTTGAATTCCTGATTTCGATAGGTGATTGTTCAATCTATAGTGACTGGTCAATAATCCCGCAATAATTCCGAATTGTAAATATAATAAATATAAAATATGTTCGAAGTCATATTTTACATTAAAGTAGCGGTATTGTATGTCCAGGCAATTCAATTCCAAAAATTGTTTTATAGCGTCCCCGTGTACCTCTTCTTGGGTACGCCTATGATAATGAAATAAATATCATCATTATTTTTATTTTAATAAAAGATTGTGCCTCAATTAATATATTGTCTAAAGACGTATGTGAGTTATATGTGTTGTACACGTAATAACTTTAATTATGAATTATTAATTAGTGAATTATTAAATAATTATTAATTAAATTTTATTAACATTTATTTTATTTATTAATTATTCTTTAAATTAATATAATGAATATAACTGAGTTTTTTCTATTGTTATCCAATTTGTAAACGTAGACCAATCTTATGAGGAAAATTTATTAATCAATATAAACAATAATTAATTACATAATTAGTTTAAATTGCTTAATTGGGTTAGTTTAGATGTGTAAACGTGCACCAATTTGCATTAGTGTAGCTGTATTTTAAAAAAATGGAGAAAGTATTAAAAACTCAAAGCATTTTTTTATTTTTCTTTCTAGTTTTAAAACAATTAAAAATAGAGCAGCTTAACCATTTCATTTCACTTTCAATAACTATAATTTATATAAAATTTTTTACTCACATTGAACTAATTCAAAAATGAATAATAGATATGGTACCAGATTTTATTTACATTTGTTAACATAAATTATTAGAAAAAAAAACAAAATATAAAACAAAACAGCAAAAAATATATTAAACATACAACAACAAATAAAAGATACGTTTTATGGTAACCTTCAGAATCACCGTATAGTACTTCAAGCTTCAAACTCACCCACATTCATTACATTTACCTCGAAGTATAGTATGTTTTCGTACTATACTGACTGCAGTGATCGCTCATACACATTTAAACATATATCTGCTTTAGATCTGTGTAAGTTTCGCGTTTATGGCAGTTGTTTTAAAAACACTTTTAAGAGAAATCTTAAATCTGTTTCATAAAAAATATTAAAAAACTTACACTTTTACTTTTACAAAAATATTTTATAAAAAATCTTGTTCAATTTAAAATTTAAATATTATACGTAAATTATTTATCTATTGGTCACTAGACATAAATTTCGTAAATTTTTGTTCAACCTTTTTTGTGTTTTTTCTTTCCTTCATCGTGGCTTAAACAGAAAGAAGTAACTAAGTGCATTAAACAGTATTTCGAACTATTTTACCATAGTTTTGAATTCGTATATACAGTAATTTATAATTTATTTAAAAAGAAAAAACAAGAAAACTTTAACTTAAACTCACTTTAATTATAATAAGTACATTTTATTTCAAGTACGACGTAAATAAGCAAATGACGCAAGTTGCCACCAAGCACCAACACGTCCTACTTCAATCGCAGCTTAAGCTTAACTAAGAAAACTTAACTTTCAATATATACACAAGCCCCCCCTCATGCACATGCAAATCGAAGACATAACTCAGTTTATGGGAGAAGGAAAACAAAAGACGTTGGAAACTGTAAATGTTCGTAATTCTTAAAGTAAAACAAAGTTTAAGCCAAAGAATTGGCAGGTCCGACAACGTGCGATCATTTATTAATCGTAGGTTTGTACGTAAAGGCTTATGCGTATACATGTTTGTATGTATAAATGCAATTATATAACAATAGAGCAAGACTTGCGTCGAGAGCGTATTACCTCGTTACCTATTACTTTTTTACATTTATTACCTTAAGCAATTCATAAACAAGAAAACAAGACAGTTAGAGTAAAGTCGACCAAGAGAGTGATACTCGTACAATCACTAAATTATAATGATATGTTTATTTTGAACAATTTTTTTTTCTTTTTTAACTTTATACTAAGAACAGGATATTGTTACAAGTGCTTTGGTATAACAATGGAGACTTTTTTGCATTTCCAAAACATAAATTTCTCCTCTTTTAAAATTATACGATTTTGACTATTGTTTTACATTTTATATTTCCCTCAAGCTTTTGCATGAGAAACGTGTTTAATGTTTTCTATGTTTTTATTTTTTTTTATTATCATATATCATTATTTATATTATTATTTTTAGTAAAAAGAAAAGCCTAATAATTGGTTAAATAATAAGAATATATCACCTGAATCTCGGTGTACATTATTCCCCATTTTTTAATAATTATTCTTAAGAACTTTGTAGTAAAGTTCTTATGTCTCTAAGGACACTTAAGACAAACTTAAGTATTTCATACTTTGATGATGATGTAGATATCAACATTAGTATACATTCGAATAACTTTTTTGAAAAACAAGGGTTTTGGTTAATATATTATATTATAAATATTGAAGCAATGTACCAACGTGCGCCTGTTAACACACTCAGAATTTTAAGCTGTGCTCTTTAAATAATTTTAATGCTGCTGTCATTTGTCTACCACCCTTACTGTGTTCATAAGATTCTATATAAGATACGGTTTAATTATGTTTTGTTAAGCAATGTTTTCATTTATATTTATTTGGATTTTCTTGACTTCAAAATGCTTTTGAAAGACAATAAAGACTATCCAAGCGACAATAAAGACTATCCAAGCGTTAACTTGAAGTGAAGTCTTTTGATTGTACAATGATAACATTATTCTTACTGACTGCATTTCTATAATGATAGAAATGCGCTTGCATATCTTTTCATTGACTGTAATTTTTCAATGTGTTGACTAAATTCTTACTAGCTATAGGCGCCGTTTTGAATCTATTCTCTACACTTATATTCAGTTGTACTAATAATTGGACTGCAAATCTTAACGTTATTTGCGAGTCAATTATATACAAAAGACAAAGAGATGGTAATATAAATATTGTCGAAAAATTTTAGAGTATGACAGGATCATTTAAAACGTAATCATTATATATAATATCTAATATATATGTCTATAATATATATAATATCACATTTTAGAAAGATATAGAGCACATATTCCATCTCAAGCAAGTATAAAAATTGGTTGTTAATAAGCTAACAAACCACAGAAATTAGAGTAGTCTCGTGATGCTTCCAATTAAGAGCAAAACTTTTATCAAAATTGTAATTCAATGGTTGGCTATAATTTTTCGGTCTATTAATTATTAGAATAATGTATAATTATTATTATTATTGACATGTTCTAGCATTACATCAAAGAGGTAAATTAAGAACTTAGTCTATTTATGGCATTTCCACAAATCTCGGTTTTTAGCTATATGTCTTAACTCATTCAATGTTTTATTCGTTTCCGCTTCGTTAACGCGGAAGCGTCCTCATCTTGGTGCGTCCTCTGTTTCTTGCACCTTGGAGGTTCCATTGTAAAGCTAATGTATAATATGTATAATAGCCAGTAATTATACATTAAGAAAAGGTTATTGATACAGTTAAAAGTACATATATGTGGAAAGATTCTGAAGAGCGAGGTTGCTGTAATACTGTTTAAACATATATGAAATTTATGACTGCTCGCACTACAGGATAGCAACAAAATCCTTTTAAAGTAAGGCTTCAAAATCACTTACAATAAAAGATAATAATATTTCTAATCAACTAACCAAACTTTAAAGATTTCAAAAATTTGTATAGAATATTATGTTAGTATTTCATTTATATAAACCTATGATATGATTGGTACTTGTTATATCACTTGTTAATAAAATTTGCTAAGCTTGACTTAGAAATAAATATATAGGGTACTAGATTCAAGTTATATATTATATTTATATTTAAATATAGGTTTTCTAAATGCTATATGCAACGCAAACAGTAAAAATAAAAATTATTTCTACTCGCCATTCCATATTAATTTTCTTTACTATTTACTTACTATATAGACAAACCACCTCATTATTTAAATTATACAGACGTTTTTTTACAACTATCTGCAGCATTTATGACCAAAAATGATAACTCTATTAATATATTGGAACAATTATGTTATTATGCTTTATTTTTATTTAAATATTTTTATTAAATTATTATTACTATGCACATCAACCTCTTATGACCAGCTATTTTGATTCACACAGAATTGTGAACAGAAAGAACACTTTAATATATGGCAAGAGAGAATACCAAAACTTGTAGCAGTAACATCATAATTAAGCTAAATGTCAAAATAATGATTGAGTCAGTGACTATCGTCATAATAGTATTGTTAATTTTGAGTGTCAACAGCTGACTTCACTAATGTACAAAATTAAATAAATATTTACAGCGAATTAAAAAATGAGAACCAAAATTGATTTGTGAGTATTTTAATGAATTAAATACTTCAATAATGATTATTTGTTTGATATATGTTATATTATTTAGAGAAGGTAAAAGAGTACGCACTAGACAAAAACAGCTGGAATTTTTCCTTCAATTTTCGAAAGAGCATCAGTCGATATTGAGGGGAGAAAAAGACCCGCGCGCTTGGTCAGAACTGGCTGATAGTTTAAATGCAATGCGAGGCCCAACAAGAAGTGCATCGAAGTGGAGACAGGTAATTTTTATAATACATGTGAAACAGTTGTTTCAATTGGAATTCAGATTTTTAGTCAATTAAGGAAAAACTGAACAATATGCTGTACTTATTACTTGCGAATCTTTTTTAAAAATGTTTTGGTTCATAAATAATAACTACAGATCCAATAATAATTGTAAATAATCTTGTAAATAAAATTAACAATATAATTTTGAATGCTAATTTAGTTAAATACCATAAAAATCTTAATAATTGCGTTCTGTATTCCACCTTTAAAATTTTTGTTGATTAAATAAAAGTAATGAGTGCTAGAAAAAAATATATTTACAAGAAATTATTTTTCAGACTTTAAATCATTGGCGTAACCAAGTTCGTTCGCGTGCCAAAAAAGCAAGAAGTGGTGGTCCTGGAATAACAATTCAGTTATCTGAGCTTGAATGTCAAGCGATGGATACATTTGGTAGTTCAGCTGAAACTGGTTTAATAGAATTACCTGCGTTAGGAATACAAGTTAGATTCGTAAATAAATAAAACATTCCTCGTCATTTTTGCGTTTAATTTTTAGAGTTTTGATGATAGTGGCAGTATTATAATTGAACCAAAACAGGAACTATTATCACCAGTTGGAAATGTTTCAGGACCCCCATCAACACCAAGTGCACCATCGTGTTCCCCAAACCTTACTGCTCCTACATTCTCGAAACGGAAACGTGTCACTGACGATAAGGAGTTATCGCTTCTCAGAGAATCAATTAAAAAATCCAGAGAATACGAAGAACGTTCCCTGGCAATTCAGGAACAAGTTCTTGAAACGCAACAAGCAATCGCATCCGCTTTAAACAATATTAGTACAGCAGTTTTTCAATTTATTGAATTAAAAAATAAACCAAATTATAAATAAATTTATATATGTAGTTTCTTTTAATTAAATTATTTTCATTGCCGTGTACTTCTTTTGTTACGTACGAGTTTGTAAATTTGGCATCACTTGATATATATTCGTCTATTTGTACTTCAACGGTTTGTAGAATAAATTATTAAACATTTTTAAATGTAGAATAATAAGTGTGAAATCTTGATTATAATAAATGATAAAATTATATAAATAAAACTTCAGCTTTTTATAACAAATCAAAATTTTTTTTTTTAGTACTTATAAAACTAATTTGTTTAAACTTCTTCGACGTTAACAATTCGTATATTAATAACAATATATTAAAAAATATTTAAATGGTATACATTACATGTTTTTTTATAAAAAAGTGTATGTTTGTGCTCATGATTTTAATATTTTTTTAGGAGTTTACATAAAATCATCCGACTCATTACCATCATCATAATTAGATTTCATTTGATCTGGTTTAAAAAATCCTACATAATTTCGAATTTTAGCCTCTTCCTCCTTACGTTTTAACTCATCCTTTTCCTTCGCTTGTTGCATTTGAAGGGCTCGTTTTTTTTCTTTATTTTCCTCCATGTCTCTCTTCTCTCGTTGCTCTCTTAAGTCAGGATGATCTTCTTTTTTGGTTTTATTTAATCTGTTTACAATTTCGTTATTTCGTTTCTCAACAAGAATTTTTTTGACCTGATCATCGCGGTGAAATGCAACTTGTCCAGCTTCCATAGCAGGAGTTTTCTTCAAATTTTCCCATGGAGTATATACAACTTCGATGTTTTTCATTTTATTACCCTGTATGCTGTTTGCTTTAACAAGTTGTGCAGCATCATTAAGGACCTCTGTTGGGATGTCAGCAAATGTTTGCCCCTTTAAAATAAAATATTATGCCATGAACTTGTCATATACGATAAATACACATTAAAAGTACAAATACATAATTTATTTTACCTTTTGGAGTCTTAAATACACGTGAGCCGATGAAAGATCACTTACATGAAACCATACATCCTCTGGCCAACCCCAGCGTATCAATTCCTCGTCTTAAATAAAAAATAAACAAGTTCAATTATTTTATGTTTCTATGACATTAAAACTTATATACAGTAGCTCTTGAATAGATGATTGCTGCTTTAGTTTGTGCTCTTAAACGAGCCATTTATTGATTTATAAGCAAGCAAAACAAAATTCCTCTGTTAAATCACTTATGATAGAGGTTTTGTTATATACATATTTATACGTAATCTACTATAGATCATATAATGAAGTGCACTAGTGTATATAAAAATATATTCGCAAGATTTTGAAAAAAAGTAAAATAAATGTTTTAATCAAATTTAAATACATTAAAGTAAACAAAGGCGACTTCATCACCCTCAACCACCATCCACTTCCTATATGGGTGGATATCCTTTCATGTTATCTGCTTACAGGTTCCAGTGGGTTACAATAAGGCGACTGTATACAATACATACAATTCGCTATATTAACACCGGCATTTCTTCATAAGTTTTCTCATATAAAACAAAAAGTTTGACTTTGATTAATGAACTTACTTTCATGTTTATCTTTACCCATGTAAAGATGGCATGGTGGAGATACAACATTGGATTCAAAATAAAATACCATTTTGACTAACAAGCGTGCAACTGCCTTAACGCTTCAATTAAAAATCATAAACAAATAAAAATTGCAAGCAATATTTTTAAAGGAACGCTGAACTTTTTGAAACAGCCAGTATAGCAATTATCGTTTTGAATTTTTCCTTTATCGATAAAATTACGAAATTAGCTGTCATTCTATAATCAACACATCTTGTTAATACAATTAATGAATTATCAATTATTTTTACAAATTATGTTAAATTAATTTATATAGGCGAATTATAACTATATAATTATAATCTAATATGTATAATATGTATAATCTAATATAAATTCTATTATATCCACAAATATAGGGGATATGTTGATAGATACCCACTCGGAAAAAAAAATATAAATAAATACTATATATAAAAATTATTTACATTACATTAAATTACACACAATATTAAATAAATATCTTTTTATATATCCGTTCATTGCATGGTATCTTCACCACGCTTATTGTCAATGTTAAATGTTACATTGTGGTGAAAATGATTAAATAATTTGATGTGTATTTTTTGACATATTATTTGGTTTTATTAAGTGGTTAGTACTATATAAACATATATTAATATTTAAAAATAGCTAATTCCAGGGTTCGTATTTACTCACTCATGAGCAGCTCAGGCTCATGAGCAAGAGCCAATTCTTATGTGAGATCAAAATTGGGTCATGAGCGTGAGCCCAAAATTGGCTCATATTGAAGAGCTGCTCACCAGCGTGAGCCTTTAAATTGCTCATATTGAAGAGCTGCTCATGAGGTCTCACGAGCCGAGAGCTCACGAGCTCAATTGTTTAATAAAAAGCGATTTATTAGTTTATTTGCTTTATTTATTTTTATAAACGTTATATGTGGAAATATATAATATGAAATTAACTTAGTTTATTATTATTTATATTAAAACAATATAATGACACAATAATTTGAATTTGAAAAACAAATTTATAAAATATTATTATTTTCCACAAATAAACAATACAAATATATTTAGTGTTTATTTTAAGAACTTTAATTATTTCCATATTTAGTTCAAGGTTATTAATATTTTAAATCTTTTTTAATGACATGTTTTCACAAAAAAAAAAAAATAAAATTTTAAATTGGGCGCTGCGGCTCATGTGAGCTCCCATCGTATGAAATCAGCCGCTCATGGGTACGCAAATACGAACTCTGGCTAATTCCGCAAAATATAATTTTTTTATTATTGCATTTCTGTCACATTATCAGTGAATGGCAGAGTGTACAGGTAAATATATATTATGTTAAAAAAAACAAACGCTTTGTAAGGTATTTTTTTCCTAAATATTAAGTATTACATGAATTTCAGGTAAAATGCTTTTGATCGAAAATATATAGAGCACAGGCTCTATATATAGAATAAACTTTTATAAAGATTTTTTGTTATCATTTGTATAAATTAACAAGTATGATTAGCTATTACAGAGAGAAAATATATTACATTTTTTAAGAATGAATGAAATACATTTTTTCCAATTAAATGATTTACTAATATATCGTGTAACCATAGTATAATCTGTAAAAACATTTACGGAAATAAATACTATGTAATACCATGTTCTCACTGTAGCTAAATTAACTTATATTAATCCAAATAAGATTTGGTCTTTTCCATTGGCATACGTTGATTTGTGCATCTTAAACAACTTTTATGTATCAGAAAGTTCTACATAAGTTTTAGGAGAGCTTTTCTTTGTTTACATTTCAATTGTAAGAAGTTGATATTTAATTTTGTATTGTTTGCAAAAATTCATTAATTGATCATGGAAAATACAGGTAATTTAATATGCAATGTTTGTAAAATTGTTCACAACATAAATAAAGCAATAGTTACATACAGAAAACGTGCAATGAGTCGGAAAAAATTAATAACTGAAAAAACAACAAATAGCATTAATTTCCTCTTAATTTTATTAAATCACACATCAATTTCTTGAATATCTAATACATCTTTAATTAATGAAAAGAAAAAATTTATTAAATATTAATACATAATTCTTTTTGTCATTGACTTTTTGAATTATAGTCGCTACGAATTTGAAATAAATAAACTGCATTTAATGATATATCATAAAAAAAATTAAATATATATTAAACCATTTAGTTATATTTTATATATCTATTACATATTCAATTAATAAAAACAAACATTTTATTAAATACTTACTTTCTCAGCATGTTTGTTTACAACTCAACTTTTGTTTGTTTATGTTTTACATATAAAACATATGATATATTTTCAATTTTGGTCATTTCCCTTGCGGGAAATTTATTTTTAAAAGTTGTATTCGACATTTTTGATCTAATTTCCTTTCATTTATTTTTAAGTATCTTTCTATGGTTAATGAAATTTACTTACTCAGTTACACTTACGTTAAAAATATGATATTAACTAAGTTAAATAGCACGAAAGCTCTTTGTATGGTTAATAAAAATACATCAGCGATCTTAACTAAATACCCTGGTCTAACGAAGGGAGTGGGAACATACTTTAAGGCTACTGTATTTACTTAGCAATACAATATGACTAAATTATTTTTACTAAATATTACTTAGCACAGTAGCGCTTTATGCAGTAATTAACAAAAATTTTTGTTAAAAAAATCAAAAGCTTTATGGAAATAGAAATTTTACTCTTCAACTTAAAAACAGTAAAGTACAAAATAACGTAATAAACGTTAAATAACAAAAGTTTATGTTTGTGTGTATCAAAGCCGGCATTAATATCTAGTTTTCTGTTATGGTGTGTTACTAATTATTTAAAAAATTTGGAATGGAAATGGAAAAACTGATTTACGTTAATATAGTCATTACAGCAAAAACTGAACGTACATTTTTCCCACGATCACCATACCACACTAACGGTATGGAGAATTTTTAAATTGCAAAAATAATTCAGTAAGTTGCCAATCTTTAACTTATGCGATTTCAATTTATATATTATAATAATTGCGGACAATCTTTAAATAGGGCAGTCTGATGACGACTGTCCAATTGAGTCATTATATAAAAATGTAGCAGAAATCAGAAGTAGCTATTTACAATATCTTCCGTATTTCAACACATCCACAAATCATCGCAGTCAAATACCAAAACAGGAGGTTAGTGATCACAAAAAACTAATTATACATTTACGAGCTTTAGTCACTTCTTCATAAGAAGTCATAAATTCAAACGATATTATGTCGTTTTTCATATTAAAGGAAAGCAATATTGTGTGTGTACTTTTCATTTTTTAATTTCCAGCAATAGAAGGTTTTTTTAATTTAATAATATTATTTTACCCATTTTAATTTTTTTTAATTACGTCTATATAATCTAAATAAATATATTTACTAGTTTATTTACATATTATTAAATTAAGTAAATATTAAGTTGTAATTTTTGTAATAATTTAATAAAATTTTGAAAAATATTTTAATTTAATACATATGCTACTGTTTTGAAATAGTTAATATTCAGAATAAACACTTTTCATTAAAACAAATCGTTTAATTTAAAAATATTTCAATTTATTTCATAATATAATATTATAAAACATTTAAGCATTGCTTATAAAAATCTTCTCTTATGACGTATATTTAAGGTACTTTTAAGTTTAATTATTGTAAATGGAATAAACAAATCTGAAACCGTAGTTTTGAATGTAGTGTTTACATATTGGAAACAAGCTACGTGAAGCACTAATTTTCTCGCTCATAATTTTTATTTCTTTATTAATTTTTGTTTTTATTTAATTATTGTAAATCAATTTTGTATAATTATGCTAATTTTTCCATTACAAATAATTTAAATATTTACGGAAGTAGATAATAACATTTAACAAGATTATATAAAAAGATAAATGGAAGTTCGTACTGCTATTTAAACTACAGCACTCAGCTGTAAAATTCAAAATTTTTGGATAATATTCGTTCCAAAATGATATTCTATGAATATTATTTAAAGTTTTATATTCAAAATTATCATTAATATTTAAAAAAGTTCTATTTAACTTATTATAGGGACTCCATTTTACATAAACATTAGATATTGTAGGGTTGGAAGTTTTTGCAAAATTAGCCCAAAGAGTCATTACTATATCTGAAATTTTTTTATCTGTATAATTCCATTCTTTAACGAGTTCGTAATTATTCATGTACGGTACGCCCCATATAAATATTTGATCATAAAATTTTGGTACGCTTACCCAAGTAGGTAGTTCGTAAAACTTGGTTTTTGGTTTTATATTAAAGAAGTATGTATATATACTTTCACTTTCAGTTAAAATATCTGCAAGTTGACATGTAGGTGCAGCATACATTTTGTCCGTATAAAAATTAACAAAACTGTTAAGTACATCTCCGCCGTTTCTAACGTCGTATATATAATCGATTGAATCAATTACTATTTGCGAATGCGAGCACACACTTTCAAATTCTGGTTCATAAAGTTTTTTAAGATCATTTAAAGCAATATCTGAAATCACTTTATAAAAATCTTCACTTGTTATTTTATTTGTATTATCGTTTTCAATGATAAGTAAAGCATCTTCCATATCTGTCAATCCGATTAAAAGTGGGACTTTATGATAGTTTCCTACTTTAAAAGACATAATTGGTTCAGTTTCAATGAATGGCAACGAAGTATTGCTTAATCCTCCATCAATAACTGGACCCCATTCAATTGGCGGCATGTTATCTATAATAGTTTTTGCATCGTGACGTTTTAAACATTGTATCAATAGATAAGTTGGTTTGTTTGGACAATCAAATACATTTGCAATCATATCTAAAGTTTTTGCGTATTCAGTTGGATTTTTAACAACATCTTTTGCCAAATGGTTTCCCGACATCATAACAGCTTTCTGAAAAGCATCTTTCGACCATTCTCGTGAAGTTAAATGTAAGCCTACACTAATAGCACCTGCTGAATGTCCCATTATAGTTATTTTGTTTGGATCGCCTCCAAAAAGATGAATGTTTTTTCGTACCCAATATAATCCAGCTGATTGATCCATAAGTCCATAATTTCCTGGCGATTCTCCATCACCAGTAGATAGAAACCCAAAAATATTTAAACGGTAAGCAATAGTAACAACTATTACATTTTGTTTGAAAACCAAATGAAAGGGATCTATGGTTGTTGAGCTCCCATATGAAAAATCACCAGCATGTATCCAAACTATTACTGCAAAACCAGTAGAACCAGCAAAACCTATAAGTACATAAATTAAGATATTAAATATATATTAAATTAATATATATATTTTTAACAGTTTAACTGTGTTAACAAATAGTTTTTAATATTTTGAAAAATCGAAGAGAACTTTAAATTATCTAGATTTGATACAATGGGTTACGAAATATTATTAATAAGAATAACCAAAAATATGACAAAAATGGGGTACAAAAATATCTCCATTTAATTTAGATCGATTCTGTTAAATGTGGATTCCATAAAATAAACTATGATATAATTAAATTTTTAAATAACTATAAACGAATATATTATCAGTAGTCATGATATGCAATTGTGTATAGTTTTTGTATTAAAACCAAATTTTAAAGGTCAACTTGTGTAGCCAACGAAACTGCATCAACTCAAATGAAACTTAGGAGATTATAATCAATAGAATTTTATTTGCTTATTTAAAATTGCAAAATGAGCAAATTAAATGAATATATCACATACATATATAATAATATTATAAACCTTTTAAGAAGTTTTCATATCACACTGTATATGTTATGATTCATTCTCACACAATAAATAAGTTAAATATTTATTGTTTGAATCGGAACAATCGTTGACAAATCTGCAACCGTATACAAATAACGACATCTGCACTATTTTTATATTTATATATATTGTACATAAAGAGGTTTTTTTCGAACAATAGTAAACTGCAATAACAAAAATTCATTTTATATTATTTTTTAATTAATTGAATTTTTAACTGACCACACAGCTATTTCGAGTATGGCCAAATACCCATCATCTGTGTTCTTGGAAATAATTCTTCTATATAATTATTCGTAAATAATTTTTCAAGACTACAAGTACCAGAAATAGAACTCGTGTCCTACCAATTTTAAAGCTCAAAGTCAGCGGTCCTTAACCAACTGACCCAAAGTCGTACTTGACATTTATGTTCGCACAATTTTCTGGAGTTTTGTTAATTTGCTGTGAAATTATTAATTTAATATTATTATTAATTCATTCACTTGCTGTGTTTATATTAGAACGAAATCATAAACCAGCTGTAGAATAATTGAATTAATTTTATTTTAATTTTAGTTGTCAAACTTCAACACTATTCTGTTTGTAAGGCATTATTTGTTGCATGATTTATAACTTCTTTCTTATGTATAGAACTTAATTTAGGAACGTAATACTGAAAAAGTTACTCCGCGATTCGCCCGGGTGAGACCATATATTATATTTTGTGAATATAAGTTGTAATTTAACGTCAATTTTCGTCTAAAAGAAAGTGACTATTATATTTAATAGAAACTAGTTTTTTTTTTTTATTTCATAATGAGGTCTTTTTCGAAAAGTAGTGAACTACAACAACAAAAATTCTTTTCGATGACAAATCTGTTTTTATATTTTTATATATTGTACATATATAAACCAAAACCTCTGAATAAAATACGATTGTTACAGTCCTATGGATCTATAGGAATTAATGAAACAGTAGCGAAAATTCACTAGAAATGCGTTTACTTTGATTTTCTATGTTCATGCACAAAACAGTAAATAATAAAAGAAATAATAATATTGATAACAAAATTTTAATATAAAAGACAAATAAATCATAATGTGATTTATAATATTTAAACTATACATAAATAAATTAAAAACTAAAACTATTTAAACTAAATAAATCAAATTCGATTTATATAACGAAATTTATTTTTTATTTAAATTTATTTATTTATGTGTTAATATTTAATATTAATATTTAGTAATGAACTCACCATCTGGTAGAAATATATTGAGGTTTAAACAGTTTTCATCATATATATTTTGATCGAGATTTGATTTTTGATTACTTAATAAATCAAATATTATTTTGGTGTTCATATCCAAATTCTTTGAAGACTTTTGCCAACAGTTAGGTCCATAACTTGTTGCATTACGTACACCTGGCCATTTCAAATTACCAATTTCTGGAGGAGCAAAACGTGGAGCCTGTGCAAATGGAATCCCAAGATATGCTTTTATATTTTGTGTTCGAAACATTTTAAGATATGTTCCAACAACTGTTCCTTGATCTGGTATCGTTATTGGTGGAGCATCTAGGAGATGTACGATTTTTAGATTGAAATGAGTACATACTAAGATTATATATAAATATTTAGGAAACCGTATTCGAAAGTTAAATTTTGTCCTCATTCTGACAATTTTGAAATGACTTAAGTGCAGTGATTTTTTTCTAAAGAAACCCCAAAAATTATGTTGTCATGGAGTTCTTGAAATATAACGAATAATTATGAAGCAGTGAAAATAAATTCGTAACACTGGCAACCGTCGTCAAAAATTATAAATTGGCATGCAAAGCCTCGAAGGACGCTACAAAAACAAAACAATTTGGGCATATTTATGCATTTTTATGGGTATCTAAATAGTATATTACTTTGTTCTTATATATTTATATAGTTTTTTCTTGTAATAGTCCCATAATTTTGTTGTGGCAGCATTTTTAGTCAATATTACTATTGCCTATCCATTCAGAATTTTTCAAAACTAATAATATTAACAGAAAATGTAAGGAACTCTGCAGAACATACTGATGAAATACGTTTTAGTTAAATGCGATTTTAATAGATGTATGTGCATCCTTCACTATATATACAATATACCATTAAATATTTTTAAATATTTTAATTGCATTATATGAAAAAATATTTATGTAAAATGTACACCAGTTTGTTCAAGATTTAACAAATATTTATAAAAGTATTAAGCTTGAGTCATTTATTAAAATTAATTTTAAATTATTGAATGGATTTATTTTAAATAATGAATTCCTAATTAAATTAATAATAATAATTATTATAATAACCAATAAATATGAAGTAAAAAATATTAATGCCAGAAAATGCAATTGCGTGCTGTTGGAATAACTTTGACCTACTCCAAACTCCACTTATCAACCCTCACTAAGGATATCAATAACATTAAATAAATATGCAACAAAAAGTATTATAAAAATTTATTCTTTTATAAAATAAATAATAAATAAATATTTACAATATTTAGTGTTTGTTTTATACAGATCAAAGCGTTGCATGTAGAAAATAAAGAAATCCAAAAAGAGTTTTAAACGACTTACCTCAAATTATTTATTCTTTTCGGTTAAACGACTAACGCCACCCTTTAATATAATTAGAAGAGTATCTATTCTTTTGCAGAATACTTTTGATCAGCCACTCTATAATTACTGCACAACTTTAAGTTTACTCTCACAATAGACCTTATTTCAATGAAGCTAGAGAGATTAGTTAAAATAATCTTAAAAAGAAAAAGCATGAAGTCAAAAATTTACTTAATAATGTCCTTAGCAGATCTGATATCGATAAATAATTGTTCTAAGATTGAACTCAAACTAATATATATCAAAACGATATAAGTGGTACTACCGAATAGTTGGAGTAACTAAATTATATTCCTACTTAGTTGGCCATAAAAACTCATTATTTAATTTCGATAGATAATGAGCGGACTCTCCAGCGAACTCTCATACTTGTGTTATTTTTCCAGTCTCGTATATTAGGTGCGGTTACAGCTCCATCAACTTGATTACTCCATTTCAGTCACATTCTACCTTTAGGTCTTATATCTTCAACTGTCAGCTTAAACACAATTTTCGCTATAGCAGCGTCTTCCATTCTTACGATATGATCCAGCTAGTGAAGACACTGGTTGATCATTTGCTGAGCAATGTCGATGTTGTGATTAAGTTCGGGTATTTGGGTTGTGCTAAATTGGCATTCGCTAACATGTAAAGATCCAAGGATCAAAAGAACTTTTCACTCCAACACTGCCTCTTCATTATTTCATGACAAAGAAAGGATAAGGGATGTATAGATTGTAAAATTTATCTAAATATATCTAAATATCGAGACAGAGAGCTGTACATCCTAGTTGCCTATAAATCCCATAGTAGAACCTATTAGTATTGGTAACTCTTCGCCTGATTTCCAAGTTAAACTGTTTGTTATTAGTTTTGGCGGTGCCAAGATAAATGAAATCCTTGACATCTTTGAAATTGTAAACACTAGCTCGTACATTTGTTATAGTAGCATGTAGCAGACATATAATTCTTTTCTTTCAATTCTTCACAATTTTGAAATTGTGCATCAATTTAAATTACTTTGAATTTAAAAACTGATTCGAATAAAAAAAATGAATAACTAAATTACCTAATTACCTAATCAACCTATTCATATTCTTACTTACTGCAGGATAGTAATTTCGAGCAATTGCTCGTAGATTAACGCAAAAACTTACAGAAAATTTATAGCACTATGAGGAGCCCACCTCATTCCCAATCTGTTAAAACGACGAAATAGAAACAATGTCTTAAGTTAAGAATAGAAAAAGTGATGGAATGAAATGAACAAAAATTCACTAATCTATCCAGGATACTTATGCTAAGAAAGAAGACGTAATAGCATATTATCGACTCTATCAAACCGTGAAGATTTTTCTAAATAAACATTGTATAACTCACTTGTTTCCTTTGGAGACAATTCTACTTATTTTCAGTTCTACGCTTGCAAATGATTTAATAGCAACTCGATTGCACTTAAAGATTGTTTCCCTCTTAGTTATCTAGGGTTAGTCATAATTATTTATTTCATATATTTTGAAAGGTGATAAAACAATTGACTTCAGCTCTATACTCACGGAGTTAAACGAATACAAATAATGATTAAATCACAAAAAAAAATTTTGGTGAGTAAACAAAAAGTCGAAGCTATGTTAACAATAGAAAGGGCTTCACTATTTTGCCTTATTCAAATCCCAACATATACATACATGATGAGAAACAATGCTTGCTAATCCACTATCCCACTAATCCAATGTATCCAATCTAAAATTCACTACTGTCATAGTTGTGGATAAAAGAAGAACAAATTATAGCTCACTCGTTAAAAGCGGCCTTTTCACTTTAAATTCAGCCTTCCTTAAGTATGAATTTAATATTCTTAATATAGATATAAAATACATTGCCTTTTTATTCAGATGAAACAGTGTTTTGTAATCCAGAATACGGACATTAAATATGTTAGCGTACCTTACATTTGTGTTCTGCTTTATTTCTACTTCGTGTATTTCAGATATCAGTTTAAATAATCTGCAATATTAGTTACTTGATAAGCATAGATAATATAAAAGAGTGTACAAGCCTAACAAGAAAATCCCTCAAAAACTTAAATGATTCTTGAATATACTTGATTTTTAAAAATAGATATTTATAATGTAAACTAATGTAGAACCTTAAAACATACTTTTTTAAAATGTTTAATACAGCTGCAAGAATTTCGCCTAAAAAGTAGATGCCTTAAAACACATCACATAAACCCATAAATCTAAGTGGGTCTTTATTATCACTGTTATAACTACTAACTCATCTAAGCTACAATAGATCACTGATATACTATCAAAAAAGAAAAAACAAAAACGTTTTAGATGAAAAGATTTTCCCGAAAAAGCTGATGCGGAAACCCGTTAACAGTTATCACCATTTTTAACAAAAAATTTGGTCATGTCAGTCAATTCATGCGGAACAATATTTGTAAAACATTACAAATACATACATTAATGTTTTTGACCTGTTCAAATTTCAATTTCATAAATTTTAATTAACATTTTGTCTGATCTCTGATGTATTCAGGCACAGTTATAGTGATATATACGATTATCATGGATTTTTGTTGACTAACATTTTGTTAATAATTTTGTCATACACTTGGTTCATTAATTGTAACATTTGAACATAAATCAACCTACCAAAAATGTATGGAGAACTCGGTCAAGCGCTGTCGTACCAGTATTGTACGTGATGGCCTCACAACAAAAGTCCTATTTATTTAATAGTCTACGAATAATTAAATATAAGAAATAACATCAAGACCACTGATGATGGGTATTTGGCAATACTTGAAACAACTGTATGGTTAGCAAAAAATTCAATAAATTGAAATAATATAAAAAGAATTTTTGTTGTTGTAGCTCACTACTTTTCGAAACCTCTATATTAAACACAATACTGTCTAAAATAGTCACTACCGTCATATTAACGTTAAAATCAATTTAATAATCTACCTTATAGTATTTATATCTAGTTCACTGAACTGTTTAGACGGTTGTCTTGTTAATTTGTTATTTTATTGACTATTTAAATGTTAATTCCATTGTGGCCTACTACACATATAATGTAAATACTTTACTATAAATAAGTAATTTATTTGAAGCACTTAGTATCTTTAAATAGGCTTAAATCGTATTCTGACTATGAAATATATAATATCTGTAAATTTTCAGAACAATTGATCATATACGTTTTTTTTTCTATATACTTAATTTACTTCTAAAAATCGCAGAGAAAATACCAGATGATTCCACAGTGAAAAATTACTTGGAAGAATACTTTATTTCATGTTTTTAGTATATTTTGCATATTCATTTCATTCATGATTTACAAAAGCGAATAAATATTTACCTTAAATTATGTGATGTTCAAAATATCTCATGTTTGAATAAATTTATTGAAAAAATTTAAGCAAAGAAAAGCTAAATTTTTTATGTCACGTCTTACATTAATAATATATTACAGCTTAGTACACTAGCCAATACAAAATAATTAGATAGGTTTTAAATAATAAAACGGTTTTATTTGTAATTCCTTTTCAATTTTTTTTTGTTTTGCTCGTTATTATATGTAGATAAAAATGTTTGAGAATAATTTTTCAATATTTAATCAAATGAATCTCAAATCATAATTGTGTTAAAAATAGAAATATCCAAATTAGGAAAAGGACATGTAACAATATCGTTACTTCATTGCTTCCCATAACAAATATTATTTTAAAATGTAGTTAAATGCATGTAAAAAATTAAGATTTTCCTTTTCGATTTTTTTAGAAAATTATAAATACTATATAGAGTATAAAACTTTTTTTTTTCTTTAAAATTAGTGATACATTCTTATTTATTTATTTATTATTCATAAAAGTATATATATACTAATATATTTACTTTTATTTATTATATATATATTTTTTTTAAAATTTTTTTTTTAATAAAAAATATTAAATTTATTATTACTCTTTACATTATTAAGATGTAATAAGTTCGGTTATACATAATTTTATCATCTATATAATTGGCATATACAAATATACTCCTTTTTGCTAATATTACATTTAAAAAATTGTTTAAAATTTCTATAAAAGTGTACAACAGCAGTATGTTTTTTTCTGGCGCTTTTCTTGTGTAATATTCATTTCTCGGACTATGGTTGCAAAGACTTCATTTACATTTATTCTATCCTTTGCGGATGCTTCAATAAACGGACATTCCCATAATTGTGCTAAAGCGTTTCCTTAGATATGAATTATAATTATAGATTATGTTAATATAATTATAAAAATATAAATACCTTCAGCTGTTGAAACCTCTCTTTGGCAATCTAAGTCAAATTTATTGGCGACTAGTAAAATTGGTGCTGGCTGACTTCCTTTTACACGAGTTATTACATTTTTCATGCTTGAAATATCCTAAAAAAGAAAATAAAACAATTTTTTATTATATAAAATTATTAGATAAAGTAAAGATATAAAAGGACCGGAGTAAAACGAAAAACAGTTCGCTAATTTCAATATGTTCTAATTTGTTTTGACTCAGGTCAGGTCTAAATCATCTATACAATTACGTTAGGTTAATCCAGTATTCAGTTTAATTGACCAAGTCATTTAATATCTGCAGGTCTATTGTAATGCTACTACTTAGAATGGAAACTTCACTGTTCTATTATTCGCTTAATATCTAACTACAACTGACTATATGCGAAATAAGTGTTTCATCCTTCTCGGTAACTTTGCAACTGTCGCAATATTCATAACAGGGAACCATTAGCCAACCAGTTGGTGAAATGTTATACAATTGACAACCTTAGAAATATATTTTTTTAGTAGATTACGCAGGTTCCTTGGTTCTTTGCTATTAAGTGTCGCCCACATTAGAATATAAATTTAAAAAGTCTTCCCTCTTGCTCAAGATCCATTGACCTCATGAAAGACACTGTTCTCCAACAATAATTTACAGATGGTGATAGTACCACCAAGAACCAGGTTCCAACTATTTACTCTTTTTAATGTCCTTCTATCATGGCACCATGGATGTACCTTGTCTACAAGGTCCTCAGAATAAGCCGATCTTTCATAACAGAACAGCAGCAACATAAGAACAAGACACAAGAATATAATATAATATACATAAGTACACATAATATTTTGTGTGTGATGTTTTGCATAAGAGCCATCTTAGTTTCTATTGGTTCTATTATTCAAAACATTTCAAAAAGAGGTGAATACTGTAATATTCACCGGTTTAAAAAACTATTGTATTGTAGGTTGGTGATATTAATATTTTATAGAAGTAACATACCACTTAACACGCGATCTTAAGCGTTTTGACTTGCGAAAATTATGAATTGCATAAGTCTAATGATAAACTTTGATAGAACTCTATTTTAGAATTGTTTACCTAAATAATCAAATTTAAAAAAATATACAAGCTATATCTGCAAAATATGATGAATGAGGTGTAGTTTACAGCTTAATAGTATTTTTTTTTTTTAATGTTGCAGCATAGTTTTTCTTAGCCAAGGGTCTCTACGATTACTCACGATTACTCATTTACTTCAAGGTTAGAAAAAAACAGTGACCACTACAGAAGTCAGCCTCTGTGATGGCCGACATTTTCGATCTCGTTCGATAAACTTCATTGTTCCCGTAATGCTACAATTCAGATATTACTGTTGGATTTATGTTTTATAAATTAAATGAAATCGATCGAAAAATTTAGAATAAAAACAAGTACAATACAAGTACTATTTAAATGTTCAAAAACTATAATCATTTGACGATTTGATTATATGGATACTACATGGTGTTGTGTTTCTGTCCGAGAAATTCTCTCGATTGTTAAGAAAAACAACTTCTTCCTCATGTATCGAATGTGGAAACTTTTACGGGATTTGGTACTTTATGAGAAGCAAATCTGGCAAACAAATCGATCGCCTTTTAAAGTAGAACTACGTAATAAAATTGATCGATTTCATGTATATTTGCTTTTCACTTACGGATTAAAAAAGTGTCTTTGGTATGGCATAGACAAAAAGCGAACAAATATTAAAAGATTGGAAGCGTCCAATCTTTTAATATTATTTTAATTTGGAGTATATTCTACCTCCAAATAGAATATGTGAGAGTCAACCCATTGCTGTCTTCTTTCAGTTTCTCTTTTTAAAATGATCGTTCTAGAGCATTATAAAAAAGTCTAACCTGAGAAAGATGAAGAAACTTCGATCTTTCGTAAGAAATTTCAATTTTTAATTTAATATATTGTATTGGTAATTAATAGCGTGCATATTTTTCTATACAGACAGTTGCAATAAGTATATTACTCTTCACGAATTTTTTTCGGGAAGTCTGACAAACTGTTCTTATATTACAGCTATTAAAGTAGAATTGTATGGATGAAGCTACGGATTATATAACAAAAAACAGAATTTTTTTGTGTAATAAGTTGGTAACAGTTGGAACTTTGTGCAGCAAAACAGTCTTATCTTCATTCATCAGGCAAGATGTCTGATGCTATGGTATCCTAAATCCCCATATTATTTAATCTAATTTTTATATATCTTTCAGTTTATACAGTAGCTATCTCTAACATTGAAATAATATTTAAAATACATAAGAAAATACAGTTTCTAATATTTAGTCTATATAAGACGGTTATAACAACGTCATTTCTAAAATTTCTACGTATCAAAACCTAATTTTACTAATGTTACAATATATTTAAAAGGAATACCTTTATAATAATATTTAATATTAACATTTAATATTAATTTTACCTGAAAGGTTTGATGGTTTGTCAATGAATACATTACAATAAATCCATGTCCATTTTTTATATATAAATCTCTCATTGATGCAAACTGCTCTGTTCCAGCAGTATCTAAAATTTCCAAAACGCAAGGAGAATTATCAACCTGAAAGCAATAATATATATTTAATTATGTACAAAATATTATTATTGGTACAAAATTTAAAATAGAATAATTGAGAACAATTGAGAACAACTAATAATACATAAAATAATAAATGAATTCTAAACACAGTTGCGATTTATTATTCTGGATCAAAAATATTTATTATAGAGACAGACTACAATGTTTTGTTTTGAATTTGAAGTCATTATATAAGAATCTGTTTCTAATCTGTTTCTAAATTAAGCACAGTTTCTCTTTCCCTCTTGATAATTAATTAACAATGAGTCACTCCTTAGACTTTGCTGTTGGTAAACAGACGCTATTTTTTTACTAAACCTTTAAATACATAAATACAGAACAATGTGGTTTAAATTCTATATAAATACCTTCTAAATTATGGACCCTAGACAGCTGTTACAAATACAGTCAGTAATAATCTGCTCAGAAGATAAATGAAAAACGAGGCTGATTTTTATCTCTATGTTTTATTTTTCAAGTGATGAAAGGGAAAACACTGACTCATATAGTTCCTATACTTAGAGTTGTGAAATATTATATTTTCTTAAAGAATTTATTTAAAGACAATATTTTTATTGGGGTAAAAGCCAGTACCAAAACTAGCTTACCACTTCAGTAACGTTTTATTAACATTTTTAAAAATAATTATTTAAAAGACTAGTTCTTTATATCATATATGTTAAATATAATAAATATAAAATATATCAGCAGATATATATATAAATTAAAATGACTTCAATAATATGGAAGTAGCTGGGGGTTGACCTTCCCCCATTTTCCCAATGATTTCATGATTGAGAACCGATTTCTAAACTGTAAGTGTTGAGTTGAAAAATTTAAATAACGTCGATATAAAACTAGATAAGCCTAGGCAGTGGCATTAAAGTGTAATTAACAAACCCAGCCTTTCATCTCCGTTTTAAAGCTCAGTGCTGCATAAAGCTTCAGTCGCTTATGTAATTCAATTGAAAATAGTGTGCCTAGTGCAACAAATTTTAAAAACAATAAATCATAAAAAATTAACAATCTAATCTAATACATTCTCGATTTTTGTTGTCGTTTCCACTACAAAAAGCAAAAGCAACACCATTTGGTTAGTATATCCCCAAGTCCTATATTTGCCCTAATTTAGATGGCTAAAGGCTATTATAATTCAATGTTTCTTTGATTTTTATTTACATAATTATTTAAGCTATAAACATATATACATATAACTATTAAGTATAAATAGCAAGTTAAATTTGATTTATGGCAAAAAAATTATGTTCTTCACATCATTTTTAACCAGTAAAAAAAAACTGATAACATATTTAAAGTAGATTAGAATAACACGTAGATCTTTAGCATTTGCGACAATAGAATCCACTATCGTATGTCATCTGCTGAACCAATCATGAGATGGTGAAAGATCTATACCATAGAACAAAAAAAAAACATCTGAAAAAAAATAGTAAAACGTATTAAAATGTCACGAAAAATATGGAGTCAAACAATCTAAAACTATCTGCAAATCGTTTAATATATAATTGGTAAATTTCATACTTTTTCTTATGACAGGAGTGCTTTTGGAAAATTAACGTTTAAAGAAGCAACCCCACAATATATTACTTTGACTTAAAATTTAGGTACAGAAAACGTCGTGTGTATACACAGCCCTGCAAATACCCTAATAAAGAGCTAACTATAGATACTACTTAATATACTATAGATACTACTTGAAATCTCGAATGGCCTGCTCCAAACAGATCTTAGAATTGACCTCTAAAGGTTCTTCTCATTTGTAAAAAATTAGAGCATTCTTCTTCACACGTTTGTCAACTGCTTCATGCCTGTCGAATCTCTTATAGCCAGATAGATATTTATACTAATGTTACTTTTTATTCGTAATAGTCAGCTCAAATATTGGGGAAGCTAAGTTATCTTAACGTAAGATATACAAAATCTGAAAGTCAGAGTTAATCTGATGACTTTCAACTTTAAATATGTCGTCCAAGTTCGTCTTCTATATAGTAGAGAATATCAAGAAGTCAAAAAGTGCTTTTCATTACTTTACACTTTGAAAACACCTTCAATTAATACATTTATATGTATCAAATTATTAAATATTCAATTGCACATTTATTGCTTAATTTGAGTAAAATGGATTGTTTCATTAGGCGGAACTCAAAATGATCTATATATAATAAGATCGTTCTATATAATCACATTCTAGAAGGTCTGGCGTTAAGAACACAACTAAGGGAAGCGTCAGTAAACAAAACTTACATTTGATTCAAGATTTTCAAAATGAAGCTGCAATAGAAATACTGATATACATCTTGATCTCAGTATATTTACGATTAAAGCAGGAAATTTGGAATCAATCAGATGAACACATTCATTGAGCTCAAAGAGCAAGGAAGTGACGTTTTCAACATTTCAAGTCTCAATAGACGATTGCAATGTCTTCTTTAAGTTTAACTAAGATAAAAAGGCATTTTTTGCATTTTATTTGCCTTATTTAAGTAACTAAAATTAAACTACTTGCTAGTCAACTAACTATATGTAGTTGTATCAAACTTTATAAATTTTATAAAACCTTATAATAATGGACCTTAAAATTTTAGGTACATTATACATCTTAAAAATTTTTTTAAGGAAAACATTAGCTGCATTTTATCTGCGTTTATAAACTGTATTTAATTTTTATTTACGTCTGTTTCGATTATAGTTTTTAACCAATTTTCAAAACAGTCGTTTGATATCACAATGTATTATATCATTTAGATTTATTTCTTTAATTTGAAATAAGAAAAACATGTGTTAGATAATCATTTAATATACATTATAGTACGACCGATAACAAATACCACATAACTCATAACAATTTTATTATTAACATTTTTATAGGGGAATTCTTTTATCAATTGTGATAGAAATAGACGATAATACAGTGAGTGGACATTTCAATGATGTTTTTCATTGTTCCAATCCACCACATTTTAACTACGTACGGTCACCAAATCGGGCACAAATCTGTTCGGTATACATTGTTTAAACAGAAAAATCAAACAAAGAAATGTCAGAATATTGATGAGCTCTAGAAAGCCCTTCTTCGGTAATGGATGAAGTTTATGCAAATACACATTCATGCAGGATGCGAATCTGTTTTCGACCAACTCAAAAAAGGGAGTTCGCTGCAAAAACAGCCATATTTAAAATTAATAATTTTTCTTGTTTGCTGAATAAAATTCAATTTGAATAAAAACTAAATACTCTTAAAAAAGTTTTATTTTGCCTACCTTATATATTAAGAAAAATATATTCTACCCATCTTTTTTTAATAACACAAACTATATAATGGAAGAAAAATAATTTAATAAATATTGTTTATAACATACTCCAAGACAATACTATTCCTGAAAAATATACAGTATTCCTGATAATAAAATATATATTTTATTCAGAAATTTATTGATTTATTTAATGTTTATAACTTAAAAAGTGTCTTTAGCTTATAAAATATTTATAAAAAAAATGTATGTGACAAGTATTATTAAATTTATTTTTGTAGATGTTAAAAAAAAATAGAACTAACATAAATAAGTAGTTAGTAGTTACGCTAAAACGCTTCATACAGTTATATCATCAGATCTTTAATCTAAACATTTTTTATATACTTTTGCTAGAAACGATAATATCACACCAAATAGTAGATTACTAATTTAATCTGTTTTACATACAGCCTCCGGTTTTAACATACATAGGTCTCCCATATTTATGAAAGGAGAAAAAATAAAGCTTTTATTCCATAAGAATTATGCGCTATCAGAAATTTAATTATAAATATGTTATATATATATGTTTTCGCGCATATATATATAATAGCTTACATAAGTATATATGTAGACTAAAGCTATGACTATGAGCAGTAAAGCGAATTGGTCTTGATACAAAGATTATATTAGTGTTAGCATCTCTGTTCCAGAGCCAACGGTTTGGATAGACAAGGACCGGTCACACCACCGAACTGTTACCACCAGGTATAGCATAGTACCTTAAAGATTATTATGTTCATATAACATGGACAACTATTAAAATTTTTTTCAAAGTCACAATCATTTTTAATTAAAGTTCTATTAAAGGAACTTAATAACAGTAAAGTAAATTATTATATACTCCACACTGGCATTGATATAAAGGAACTATGTATAGGCAATTGCAATGACTAATAAAATTATCCTTAATTGCCGTACTCTTTTTTTTTTAATTTAAAGTGCATTAAAGTTTTTTCTTAGATTCCTTCTTTCATTTTCCTTTTATTAGTGACTTTGCTATGAAAGTTCTGAATAATATTATGGTATTATTGAGAGAAACATTACAATATAATAAAATGATAAAATCTATCTACATACACGTATACATAAGTATTGGTGAATCAAACTAAATGATTCAATTAAATACAGGTGGGCATATAGTTTGTTAAATGTTTTACTTGAACATTTTAATAAATATAAAACAGTTGGTATTTAAAATTATTTTAAAACAATAAAATATAATTATTTTTAACATTTTTTAGAATAATACAAACGCATTCGTCTTTTCAAGTCTCATTCATACTTTTATCTTTTTTATAGTTTTTGTTGTTGTTTTTTATAACACCAAATATATAACTTTATATGCCTGAACAAATACACACTTAAATGCATGAATAATATAACAAAAAAAAATCACAGAATGTTTCTAAAATAATAATTATGTGATTATAATTTTATATATCGAAACAATCAGATATCTTAGAAAATGTATATATTTAATATGTGTTCGAAAAGCATATAAATATATACTTTTATGTATAAATATATATACTATTGATTGATTCATTTGTGACTATATATACATACCTCAATCTCCTTTCGGTAAAAATCTTCAATTGTGGGATCATATTTCTCAATAAAGCATCCTGAAACAAATTGCACGGTAAGAGCAGATTTACCCACACCACCAGAGCCTAAGACGACAACCTTAAATTCCCGCATTTCTGCGACAAGTGCAATACTCTTCCAGTTTGGCCAAGTCCGTTGCAAGCGGACAAAAAAGGCCAAGTTGAATGCTCTTTGAGCAAAAAACTTAACTATTAGATATTTTTATATAAATTAAACCGTACTTTACCACGCGAAATATACTTTTTGTACGATTTATTACGATTATACGAATTAAATGCAATTTATTATTAGCAAATACACTAAGGGCGTTGGTAAAATCTAACACGCGGTCATATATACTTGAAATTCTTTGTTATTTTTATATTTTTACTAAAATTAAACTTATATTAATTCATATGAATTACATATTTCTATAATTATATATTAATTTTGTATTCTTCATCGTCTGCCTTTGTTTTTTGTTTTTTTTTTCTTCAATTCACACGCAAGTACAACGAAAACTCCAGGTTCTGCAAAAACACAAAGTGTTTGACTACAAATGTCATTTCTATATACCAGAAGACTTGGTTGGTATGAAACATTTTATTAAATTAAGAGATGCCATATTATTGCAATTAATTGGCAAAATTACGGGATTTTTTCTTAGCAGGTTTTTATATATATGTATAATAAAAATAAATTTTTTATATATATTTTAATGTCGTCTCATTTATAATATATTGTAAAAATACATATTATAAAAAAATTATTAAAATATGATAAAAAATATTATTTGTTTACTTTTTGCGCTATGAAATAAACAAAAAATTTCATCAAATCACAGTTTTTCTCCAAAAGAATTATTTTTTATGGCAGTGTGCAATTTCAAGTAAATGGATAATAAATTGAGGGAAATAGTAAATTATGTTGGTATGGGAGCGAATGTTGGTATATACCAGAATTTCGAGTAAGGTAAATTAGATAAAAATTAGGTATATTAGGTGTTACCATTATGAAAATTTTATAAGATGTTTAATAAATAAATTTGAAAACCTTCAACCAAATAATAATAATAAATAAGTGCAATAAATAAATATTTACATAAGTGCAGTGCAAAAAATCTCTAAGAAATTTCAATTTACTTTACCTCAATTTACTCGAACTTGCACACGGGCTATATATAAATATTAAAGTTATTATTATAAAATATAGACTATTTAGAGCAAAAACTAAGCAAAGAATTCATCTTTAGTATATCCAAAACTAAAATAAAGAAAGAATTGTATGTATTAAGAATGCTCTCGATATTTATTAATATCATAATATCATATTAATATCATAAAAACTCATTGTACATAAAAATTAACCTATTGCTAAGTACAGCTTCAATACTAATACTATATATATATTGTATTAATATGAAAAAGGAAAAATTTTAATTTTTAGACAAAACTGCACAGCAATGCCAATTAAAAATTGCACACAGCTGTTTTAAAATTTTCTACCTTAAATTAGCTGATCTATGCTAAATGTTTTCTACATAATTTGCTTCACTGAAATAAGTAAATGTATAATACAAAATGTGTTTTATGCATAATATTATTTAACATTGCGTCTACCGATAGGAGCCTTTCAATAGCATAAACTGTTTTTATTCTTTCATGTATATTTATTTCATTTTCTTTATGTTCTGCAAGGTAAAATACGTTGTCTTAAAAAAACAGTCTTTCCGAAACTGATAACCTTTTATAGCTGGATAGAATTGTCGCGACATCTATGTCTAATATCGGAAATATTTGCATTTGTGAACAATAAAAAGTTAATACATATATGATATTTATAATATCTGATTTTGTTACGCGAAGAAGTGGCATTGAATACTTTGAGAAATGAAATTTCTACTGCAGTAAAATTAAAAGTTTTGCAGAAGTTCTTAAGTGATCAGGGTATACCACAAAAAGTTTTTTTAGGTCGTTAAAATAAATTTAAAAAAACTAAAAACCCGTTAAATCGAAAATCGTCTCAGCTCATCATTGAGATTTAAACAGATCGCTAACATTGTTAACATTTCATTTGGATCAGTCCAGACCACGTTTTCTCGACAAAAATAGCGATTTCGACAAAAATATTTAAGTTTTTGGAAACACAACGTTGAAGTCTGTTAAACACTGCTTTTTTTTATCATAATAAGATGATTACTGGAGATGCGACTTGAATCTATGATTGTGACCGGAAAACACCCAAATCAATATAGAGAAGAGAAGACTGAAGAGATCATAGTCTATAAACGACAAATTTATTTTAACAGTTCACTTCGATTATTCCGATGTGCAGTATTATGAACTCCTTACGCGACCTAAAAGATTTATTGTGCCCCTTAGTCGGATTAGAGTGTTACTCCAATCCGATTTCTTTAATGAAAGGCAGTATAGAGCCTATCTTTCCTAGTCTTGGATCCTTATGATCCATTAAATACTCTCCTAGGTGTTTCTTCCGCCTGTGTAACATTGCCGGGCACTCCCCAAGCACATGGTATGCCAGGATAAGCTGAACACAAAAAATATGGAGACTATAATTATGGGCAGCTCTTGGTTTTTACATAATTTTTACAAAAAATTAACTTGTCGTTCCATAATTATTGTATTTAATTCCGTGTAACGTCTGGTATTTCGTAATTTCAAAACATCTTTGAGAACACCATTTTGGCACGATTCAAGAGATTTAAACCATATCGCTGGGCTTTAAGAAACCGAAAATCGATTCCAAGACTAGAAGAAACTATATACGTTCATTGTATGACAGAAGGGAGTACTTTGAAAGTAATGGAATATATGTAATAGAATAAATAAAAATTTTATTAGCTATAAACAACTTCATCCTATTATTTTATTACAGTCTTACATATCTAAGTGTTGTCTAAATTGTTTATATTTTTATTACACTCAAATTTGAATTTGTTACATATATAAAAACTCTTCAGTAAATTTCAAGGATTAATGGACAAATTTTTTACTTATTTTTATTAATTATAGGGTCATTGTGAATGCATAACAACATTAAAGTTGCATACAAATTTATTTTATCTTGAATTTTATATGATAAAAAGAATAATCAATTGTTTGACATACTCTTTTCTACTTTATATTTGAAACTTCATTGAAATATTTGAAATTTATAATTAAAAATAAGATTAATCATAAGCAAGATTGAAATCATATTTATATCTTTGTAACTAAATTTATATTATATTGTAGATGTCAACGCCGGAACTTTATTTTTTACTCAATAATTCATCTTAATATCACAAGCGTGATTCTTTTCCTGATATTTCTGATTTCTTTATTAACATTAATATTTTGTAGATTTAAAAAGATATTGAATTTTTAATTAATGTTTTTACGAACTTTACGGTACGACTTTTTCTCTTTTCAGAAACAATTTTATTCGTCACGTGAAGTACATAAACACCAATTATTAAGACTAAGTCCTTTCAAATGCATCTATCACATGATCAGGGCAATAATGAGTAATATAGAAACATATATATTTAACTACCTCTAAAATATTCAATGTAATTTAGTTCTAAAAAGTACTTTTGTTCCTTTTTAAATCTCATTCCAATAGAATTGAACAAAAATAATACAAAACATTTAAGTTTCACCAGTTTATTATGAAATGTTTAGTATTTATTTTCTTGCTTGGTTGCGAGCCATGTCCTTGGGAAAACTTCTAACTGGTGGTGTACGAATACGTCTAGCTTCCTTTGATCTATTTCTAACTACTTTAGAGTGAATAGCGCAGGATACACAGTAGTGCAATTTAGCATACAGTTTTGGTAAAACATAAGCTAAAAAATAAAACAGTAAAATAAATACATGTTGAAAAAAACTTAATTTCTCTTTTACGTACTTTCCCAAATTGAAGCTTCCGATATATCACGAACTGCAGCAGCTTCGACAATATTACGGATGACAAACTTTTTGATTGCCTTATCCTTTGGAACGCAACGAGCACAGTTTGTGCAACGTACTGGTTTTACGTGACCGCGATTATGTTTACAACGTCCTCCATTACGGCGTTTCTTAGTCTAAAAATAAAAAATTTTATTATCTTCATATAAGTACAATATTTAGAAGAAAATGTTTTTTCACACAACCCAATTTTTAAGATTGTAACATTGCAATGAAAAACTTTAATTAACAAATATAAGCTTTTATATTTATGAATCAAAAACAGTTTTTATGGTTATGTTTTACTGTCGCTACAGCAAGGTGTTGGAACGTAAGCGTTAAAGCGCTTATAAGTGACCCAAAGACCGATCACAAAAATTTCGAATAACATATAAAATTTTTAATTTTAGGAACACACATTTCAATTATTTACTCATATAATAAACTAGAAATTCACAGCACATTTTTATTTTATTAAAAAACTTTTAAAACATACCATTTTGCTACTACTTTCAATAACCGGAAGAAAGAAAAAGAACTATATTGCCATGAAGTTAGCTGCACAACGCAATTTAGAGGCGGTAGTAGTGCCAAATCAAAATGAAATATTTTAAAATCAAGAAGTTTACACAATAACAGAATTACACAAAACAAACATATATCTGATACCTACTATTTTTATTATTTATAAATGTACTTAATTTTGTAATTATTTAAACCAAAAAATTTTTGTCAAGATTAATATTTGATGTAATAGCGTAAATATATTTCAGTTTATTTTGTGTTATAACTGGACAATTATTAAAAGTTTAAAAGGTTTTTGAACATATTGCATTGAATATATCGCATATTAATATCAATAAGTATTTGTAAATAAAAATTTAAGTATATAGATTTATTACCATTTTGACTTTAAGAATTTAGCAAACAGTGAAACAAAAGGAAAACGAAATAATATTTTATTTTTGTTTTTAAATTTCATTCTAAATTAGTTCGCCGTTATATATTTTCATTATTCAGAATTAAATTTTTAATGTAAATAAATAATTTGCTTTTAATATATTAAATATATGAATATATTGAATTAAATGGAATACGGATGACAGACTAAATACATTTACTGCTACGTTTTTGATTACAATCTAATTTTATATTTGTTAAAAATTTATTTTAATTCGCATAATTATTTTTTTTTTATCAGTTTATCAAAACTTAAACCCATAATTAGTATATTTAGTACTATAAAAGCGCAAGAATGAATTATTTACATCAATCTATCAAAGTTATACACTTTAATACACAAAAACGAAATCATGACAATACGAAAATCATGAAAAAAATTAAAACAGAAAGTACTCTCAATTCATCAATGGATTACAATTATAAGCCTAACTTCTCTTTATAATTATATATCACTTATGACATATTCAGCACTTCATTTATAACAATAATAAGATAGCAATATACATAATGCATAAAATATTTTCTAAATATATAGCGCTGATTTTGTACCTTAATGAAAATGAAAATATATAAGCTATACTTAAATTTGAAAATTATTTATTAAATTCCGTTTATTTTAATTCAGCCGGAAAGTTGAAACCTATCTAAAGAAAATATTTTTCCATCTAATTTTACAAATTTTGTATTGTCAATATAATTTAAATTGTAACTCAGCTTACTGTGATTAAGTATCGACAGCCACATAGCTATATAAAAGTAACATTTTTCATAAAAATAAATATTTTTTAAAACAATTTGTAGCATATATTTTACATGTTAGAATTCTTAAAATGGTGATGGAATGCGGCAACCCTTAGAATTATTAAATGACCGAAAACAAAACTGATAATCATATGTTATGGTACATCTTTCAAAGTTTTTAAAATACAAGTATAAGTTATTAATATATGCTAAGTTTCCGTGGCATATGCTAAGACGGTGAGATTAATGGTCTACACTATCCCTAAAATATGACGAAGTTTTTTTATATAATATAAACAATTTTTTTTATTAATTGTTGTCGTAAGAAAAGTTTTGTTATCAAAAACACTCCCTTAAATTATTCTCTGTTTATAACAATAAGAAGTTTAACATCATTTTTAATCCCATATTAGTTAATATCCATAATTCGAATCAATTTAAGCTTATATATTTTAAAATAATATAGATACTATTGTATATTTAAATAAATACAGTTAGATTTTTTTATTTTAATTTTATTTCATGAGTATAAGTCGATATTAAAATAAGATCTTATTTTTTACTCATGTATTTATGTATATTTAAAGATTTAATTTTACATTTGAATATATACAAAATTTTTGGAATCAGTTTGCGTTTCCTTTTCTTTATTCATCTTGATAAATATAGTATCAATGGAAAATAGAAGAGCACCCAAGAATGTTAAACTTCCAAGTATTAACACATAAAATTGAATATCATTTGGCATATATTCTATAGATGCGAAATTTAAAAATGCTGTAAATCAAAATTATAATAAAAAAATTTTATACAATATTATTATTTTATTGATTTGTCAACGAATACAATGCATAAATTGATGTTAATTTTTAAATAATAATTTAAAAATAAAAATATTTGTCCCATCTTATAAATAATTATTTATTGACTTCCAAAATGTTTATATTTATTGAGTTTATTTAATTTAATTTACTGTAATTATATACTTTCACCGATTTTGTTAAAAATTTACCTTCTATTATGAAGAAAATTGCGCCAGCTATTGAACATAGTTTTTCAAAACTTACGCTGATATAGTTCGCACTACAAATATAAAAACTAATATATACATATATTTTTAAAATATTAAGAAAATAATACCTTGATAATAGAATTAACAATGTAATCAAAGCAAATCCTCCATATGTTAGAATACTGAAATCTCTGAATTCCTCCGTCCAATAAATTCCTAACAATATATTTTTTTCATTTGAGATTTTTTGATTTCTTAACAGTAACCTCTGAATTTGATAATCTGTGTATTTTTTTAAAAGCAGGCATGAGATGCAGAGAATCTACAAAGTTAATTAAACAATACAGTTTTCCAATAAATGAGAAGAACTTCACTTTAATTCATTTAATAGTCAGTCAAATTAATTTTCTGATTTTCTATTATATTATAGTAACTAATGATCATCGATATATAATTGTTCATTTTGGTATCATTTTGTATAAATTTTATTTGTTTTATATAAAAACCAATGACACAAAATAGTTTTTATTCCTAAAATCAGATTCAAATTTGACTTACAAATTCAATCAATTTATTTAAAACTCTCATTATTATTGCACCTTTATACTATTAGTTACGAACCAACTGAAGAACAAAATTTATTTAAGTTTTGTAACTACGAATTTCATTTATTACAAAAGTGCAAGTTAACCACTAAACAAAAATTATGTTGTACATTGTATTCTGCTCAAGTACAGCAAAGCATTTAATGCGAAGGTCGTGGGAATTAGAGTTAAATATGAGAAACTGAATGCGTTTCATACTTCTTTAAATTAGACTTTTTTGGGTAAATAAATATACTTTTTAACAATTACTATTATCATTAATACAATATTTTATTTAAAAAATTTACTTTCTCATATTATAAATTTTATTGCTCTTAATAAATATTTAAATGATAAATGCTTAAAACGACATTAGAAAGACGTAAATAACATTGTGCGTGGAATTAAAACCATTTTAATCAAACATTTTGTGGAGATATCGTTTTTCATAATAATATTTATATAAAGCTTCATAAATTATAATATGTGTATTCATTCAATAATTTCTTTCAGTTGTATTATTATAGCATTATCATAGTTTAGAAACATAACTAAATTGACAATAACGTTGAATAATAATAATTTCAACCAAATATGCTACTTAAATACTTAAGCTACAATTTTTGTATAATTGTTTTATTGATATCATTTTCAAAATGATTACTTATATAGATCATTATTTATTTCCCTGTATATGTGTATGAAAACTAATATAAGTTTAAGCTGTTTTTAAATTGGGCTATAAAATTTCAATTGGCTGGAAAACACTTTACCAATGTAAATAAAATGATTTAAATTTAAATTTTGTTTTTAAGTCAATTGTGAAGAAGAAACTAATTTATTAATAGAAAGCTTCTTAAACTGTAATACATTACAATACATTTTTTTTTTGTTTTTAATTAATCAAATTTTTTTGGCTTGTTGATTGTTCCATATATACTTAGAATTTTGGCAAACATTTAATTTGTTAGACATAAAAAAATTATTATTAAATAATATATATAAAAACTAATAAATATTTTAAAAGAAAAACATTGTTAATAAAGTAGTTACATTAAAACTGTATGTATAAAATTACAAGAAATATTACAATTTTTGTGAATGAAATAGTAAATTGGCTATTTCAGGCAAGAGTTAATTATGATTGACATGTTTGTAATTTTTAAAACTATTTGGCTAAATAAGTATTCGAAACTTATTTACATATGTTTTATTTGGCACATTTTTTTAAGTTCTAATATATTTCTATTAAATTTCATTTCAAAACTTCTTTTGTAATCTTTCCTTATGGGTTATGGATGTTGATACTATTTAATCATAATAGCATATTTGCGTAGAATTATGAATAATTTTTACTAATTTAAATAAAACGAAAACAATTTCGCACCGAGAGAAAACAAAATTAATTAACAAATCAAGGTAAAACTAATACTTGTCGTGTGAACAGATTTTTAGTTAAGCGAGCCGAATGTACAACAACACAGTCAATATTATGTTTACTTGTATCGAGGAAACAGGCTATTATAAGCGTGTACTATCAACCAGCTGATCATTATAATAAAAAGCAAAAATTTTATAAAATCTAACGATATCATAATTCCGGTATTATAATTAAGTTTTATCATGTGAATAGGATATAAATATAAACCAAAGATATTTGTAAAGTAATATTTAAAGGCACAAGTAATTGCAAAAAACAAAAAAATTTTTAATTTAAAATAGTTCATCTCCAACATTATTAAATATACTAAATAAAAATTTTAAACCTCTTTTTTGAAACAAAAATACAATAAAGATCTCATGCGAGTTCGAGTAAATTGATGGCGAATTGAGGAAAATAGTAAATTATGTCGGTATGACAGCAAATGTTGGTATTTACCAGAATTTCGAGTGGGATAAATTAGATAAAAATTAGATAAATTAGATATTAGCATTGTGAAAATTTTATAAGATGTTTAGTAAATAAAATAAATTTGAAAACATTTAATCAAAAATAATAAATAAGTGCAATAAATAAATATATATAAATGTAAAAAATAAATAAAATAAATATTTACATAAGTGCATTGCAAAAAATTCCTAGAAAATTTCAATTTACTTTTCCTCAATTTACTCGAACTCGCACACGGCTATAAAACTATAAGTTAGGCATAGATGGCAATATTTAAAAAACCATTTAATTAAACATCCCTGATTCGAAAAACTTTAAGCGGCGAAAATACATTTCATATTCGAATATTATTAACAAGATATTCAAATAATTACTTTAGAAATTGGTGTTTTTTGTATTACTTTTTAGGATAACAATTAAACTAACATTTTCTTTGTCCATATAGCTAATATTCATTATAAACTCCAAATTGATTTCAGTTATAATTTTCAATTTTGTTTCAAATTGAAGCGAATTTTTAATATGCATTTTAATATTGTGTTTCAATACCGTTTCGTTACTCAGCGCCTTTGTTTATTAGCGCTGTCGAAATAATATTCGGATAGAGATATATATGATATAAAACTCTTATTAATTTGTTTGGTGTCTATATTTCTCTTAAAATCTAATATTAATATAAATTTTCGAAAACACGATTTCATGCAGTAATACTTTTGTGGTTGGTTTAATTTATATTAAAGCCATCACAGGCAATTTATCCTTGTTTGTGGATACGCGTTCCTTTCATACAACACACCTTAGTAAGTACATACTATAATAGTTGATTGAAACTATACATGTATATATATGCATATATATTTAATTAAAAATGCATAGACATTTTGTTCTTATGTTATGTGATAAAATGTACAAAAATATTTAAATGATTACTTGGATTTTCTTCGTTTTAATTGAAAACTGTGCATGTTGAAAGGATGTCTTTGCAACAAAAATGTAGTATAAATCAATTAAAAGTGGTTGTAATAGTTTACACAATTTTACAATAACCTGTTATAATTGAGTTTTAACCATTATAATTTATAGTAGTAATGTTTTATTACTAACTTAGGCATCGTTTTAAGTAACCAATTTTATTTTAATCAATTATTGTAAACCGCGAAATGTGTCTGCTACGGAATAATTTTTTACATAAAGATTCATTGAAAGAAATTCATTATTTTTAGTTAAAATTATTTATTTTATATATGTTTTATGTAAAATCAAGTTATTTATATATAAATATATATATTATGTTAGTAATAATTTCAATTAACAATTCTGCAGACTATTGGATATACAAACAATATTTTGAAAGTACATTTATTTTTTAATATATATATTTATATATATATTTGTTTAAAAATGTAAATGAAAATTATAAATTTTTAGATCGATTTCTCTGAAAAAACGGAAGGACAAGTTCCTTTAGCAATAATGGACGAAAATGATGTTGATGGGAAAAGTCCTATGAAACGTGTGGGATCTACAAGAAAAATTTTGGATTTTAACAGTAAGCCTCATATACTTGTTAATTTGTTAAATATTTTAAATCTAAGAATTTAAATTTGTTAACTTAATGAATTACGTATTGACATTTAATGATTGCTAATTGTTTATAAAAATTATGTATATCTTTAGCAATACAACAGCAATTTACTGAACAACTGCGATGTCTCGATTGCAGAGTTGAATCGCAAGTGGCAATAATACAGGAACTGCAAGATTTTTATCGTCGGCGAGGTGAATTAGAGATGGAATACAGCAAAAGCCTTGATAAATTATCTCGATCTGTACTATTGAAACATAAGGAACAAAAACAGAAGTAAGTAGAATGCTAATTGTAAATTATAACAACAGTAATTTTAATATCATTTAAGCTCTGTTTATATTCTCAATTAGCATTGATTTTTAATTTGTTTTTGTTTCAATTAAGAGAAACTTTTACCGCTTTATGTTAATTAAACTCATGTTTTCCTAACCATTGAGTTTACTATTTACATTATATATTGAGTTAAAGAGAGTAAAAAGTTAAAAAAATTGTATTATTCTTTATATTTTTGTTTTCAACTATTATAACACATACACATATAGTACATACAGTACTTATTCTTATTACTGAGTTGTTCTAATAACAAACTAAATGATATAAATGATTATACTATAATAACACTTACACACAGCATATAGTACATATAGTACTTATTCTTATTATTCAGTTTATCTAATGACAAACCAAATGATATAAATGATTATATCATGTATTGTATAGTAAAAAAATATGAAATTTAAAAAGCTCTTAACCAAACCATTAAGATTTGCCAAAATTTGTATATATAATGTTAACCTACTTTATATATTAAATAACAAAAAAATTATTTTTATAGGCGCATGATATGGCCTTTGTTTTCAACATTTTCCTGGTGGAAGCATATAGTTAACGAAGCACAGCTTTTATCAAAGGATCATGCTGCGCTATCCGATTTATATGCAGTAAATATTGTTTCCAGATTACAAGCTATTGCAGAAGATGTGCAAAGAATTTATCAAAAAGTAAGTTATTTATTCTATTTAATAATAAAATTATATGAGTATACATAAAATACATTTTTAATACAAACCTATTACAAACATTTTGAAAAACAAGGATATGCAAACATTTTTAAATATATAGGTAATAAAAAAATTGCAATTTTAAATTTATTTGGATTAGGGGAAGAAAAATTTGCTACTTCAAAATATAAAACTTTTTATAGAATATAATTAACCGATTTTGTATTTCGCTAAATTTCGATTTAAAGCTATAAACCTTTAAAAACAAAAACTGTATATATGAATAAAGTATCTGCTAAATCTCTTTTCTTGATCCGTTTTGAACGGGAGGGTACTGGAGTATCTGAAACGACAAGTGGCTCCGGAAAGTAGTCTCGCTATGTTATAAAGTTTGCTTGCACTTTTCTAATTCTTATGAAATGTATTTATTATAAAATTATTTCTATAATATTGACATATTATTAATTTTTATTTAAAGTGCAGACGAATTGCATACGATATTCAGGAGGAAATATTCAGAATTTTTCATGAGCTATACACTACAATGAACACATATCAAAAATATGAGGTAAAAAAAAATATGAAGTGAAATAAGTTTTATATACATTAACTTTTTGTTTTTGGGTTTTATTTCCAGAATGATATCAAAGGGGCGGAAAATAAATTGATGACTGTCGAAGCTCAACAACTTAAATTAAAGCAGACAATATCAAAAGAAAAACTAGACAATAGTAAAAAATACAAATTAATAGAAAAGGAAGTTCAAAAGGTAATAGACATTTAATATAATATTATAAAAAATCACCAAAAAGATTTTATGGATCTTGAAGAGGTATTGTATTTGTTAAAATAATGTAATCAACTATTACACTAATAATTTTTTAATTATTAAATTATATTATATGCCATCAATCAAAGGGTTTTATGGATTTAAAACAACCATATTCAGTGCCTTATTTTAACTGCTTTTGAAGAAAGCTAACGAAGAAGAAAGAGACGAAATGTCTTAGTAGAATTCATATTACTTTCAGGTCAGAATTTTATGTGAGAATAAAGTATTTGTTTTTTATAGGTATGAAACAATTAAAAATAAATAAAAACGTTTTTGATCTTTGATCATAGACAGAAAAATCAGCGTAGATGTTATAACATTTCTAATTCTTTATCAAACATTGCTTTTATATTTTAAAACTCAGTTTTACCGAATTTCAACCGGCTGCCATAAAATATAAAAGTCACATGTTGATGATCTTCTTATAGAGTCCAAAACGCTTCTCGTGAAAGAATTTAATCAGATGTTATTTAAGTAATATCGCCTAATATAATAAATCTGCCACTTGGCATTTTACACAACCCTAATTTTCCGCCATTTCCATACACATCTATATTCACTTATGTATTCGTCTTGTGAATCTATTCCCCTTTGTTGTTGATCTACACGGCCTATAACAACATTAAAATAAAGTGTTTAATACAACGAACCAATGTTATCTTAACTGACTATATTTTCAAATTTTATTTAGTATATCCAAAATTTATTCTCTTATATAACTGGAATATTGAAGGCGTTATAAATTTATAGAGTTGTTGATTAAATTATTATATATATATGTCATCTATACTAATTCAATTAAGTATACATACAGATGAATCTCTACCTCATCAACCATTTAGGTTTTTCCTCTTTAATTATTGGTTAGTCCGTTTGTTGATGGCTATCACTCACAATCAGTTTGTCAGGACATAACCTTATTTCGAACTTGTTTTTCTTAGTAGATATCTGAAAATAAAATAGATGTTGCTTAATATCGATCAAATTTTTTTTTCCTTCACATAATTTTGAAAACGTTATTTGAATTCTTCATTTTAGAGAAAAAATAAATATATGGATATTAAGCTTAAAGCTCTAAGGGCCAAACTTGAATATGAATTAAACCTTGAAGCTGCAAATTCAACAATTCACAAGTACTTTGTTGAGGATTTAAGTGATATTATAGATGTAAGTAATCCAAAATTTCTTTAAATTATATAAAAAATAATGTGTTATAATAATGATTTAGTGCATGGACTTTGGTTTCGGCTCAATGATATCAAGAACAATTTTCACTCACATATCGGCTGACCAAAAAAGATCGAATTTAATACAATCGCAAGCTGAATGCATGTCACATTTAGCGCAATCTGTTGATACTCGAGCTGATAAGCAAAAGTTTTTAGAACAACATCATACAGCTTTTATGGTGCCAAAACGTCTTGATTTACAAAACAAATTAAATAACTCAACCACAATATCAGATCTACAGCAAGAGCTATGTTTGGATATGGAACAACGACTTAAAGCGATTTTGCAAAGATTAACTTGTTTAAGGATTGAGGCTGATGAAAATTGGAAAACATTAGAAGTAACGGAAAATAAACTGTTGGAAAATATTGGCGAAAGAAAATATAACTGCGGAGAAGGAGCAAATTTAACAGTTGAACCAACCACATTCGATAATGAAGTTAGAAATAACGAAAACAAACAAGAAATAGAAGATTTTTATTTAGCAGTACGTATTTCTTTAAAAATGCTTTTATAATATATAATTAATAATAAAAATTTCTATAATTTTAGAAAATACATGAATATTTGAAAGGCACATCAAGGATAGCAAGATTGAATGCAAAAGCAGACTTTCTTAAAAAATGCACGGATTTGTGTACTGATGATTCTTTCCGGTCTACTACGTGCAGAGATTTATTAGTTTCGAAACGAAAAAGAATCGGCCATGTGAACAAATTCAAGCAAACGAAATTATTTGGAGAATCTTTAGAAGATTATTTGGAGAGTTCTGGTGAGGATGTTCCACTTATTGTAAGAAGTTGTGTGCGTGTAATTAATCTTTACGGTAAGTAATTTTTAAATAATATAATTTCTACATATCAAAATATTTTTGTAATTATTATCAAATTATACAATAAAACACATATCTTCGCTATATCTGTTAAACATAGGAATCTTTAACTAAACTGGTTCTTAACTGATATACCGTTTTTGAATCGATACTAAATTTGTAATCGAACTAAATAATTGTGGTTTCGCTTTATAAAAATTACGAATCAAACTTATTGTTTAGAACTTCAAATCCGTTCAAACAACTGCTATAAATTTTGTAATACTGCTGAGCTATACAAAACTGTAGAGCCATCTATTGAGGTTTGCTTTTCTAGTAGAGACCTCTACGTGACATGACATGGCTGCAATATTATTCTAGGTGTTATTAAACCTAGAAAAACATCTACTTAAGATACAATTGTCTCATATCAATTATATACTTTATTTATGTATAACTCTATGAGTCATGCATGCTTACTGATCAAAAATACACCACCAATACACCACAAAAATACAGCACCAACATCTGTAGAGCGCTGTAGTAGAAATAATTTAAAAACGCAGTTATAGTGCTTTATTTGGTTTGAATCCTATAGAATTGTTCAAATTTGACTTTGTTGATTATTCTAGAGATCATAGCATTTATAAGTTTAACAGTTAAATGAACGACTGTCTTAACCGATTTAGTTTCTAGATTTCGTTTGGTATGAACAAAATCTTACACCCTAGGTACTTATTATATGGTTTAGATTTTTTATTTTAACTGCACAGAACTCGTTAGCTATTCGATTAATCCATACTTTTATGTTTAAAATAAGCAGATGCATTCCCTTCACTTATGCAGTGATCCCATTAATATTGCAATTTATAATTGTACTTGTCCCCAATTTTTATATGTGAAATTGACACAAATTGTATACTTTTAGCACTTTGTGTGCGTGAACGTATGATAAACAATACCTGACTACAAGCGATTTTATATCTACTTGTAAAAACATTCAAGATCGACACATGCGGAGGATTCCACCCGAAACATAATAAGTTTTAGGTTGCGTTACGTTATCTTAGACGAGTAATTTGTACCACAAGTAGGATATAATTATTTTTAACACATAATCTAAAACTGCTTCTTTCACTAGTGGAAATACTACTCCACTCAGCCGATTTCAAAGCATTTTTAACGTCTAGTATAACAACTGCACACTACGACCAACCAACATACGCCTTTAGTAGCCTTGATCGAAAATTTATTACATTAGTTTCGTACAGCTGTCTACAAATGTCGATTATTCATCACATAGATCTCGAATCTGGGTGTTTTCTATTAAATATCAAAATCAGCTGCATTTTTTTTACAAACTAATTGCGATAATAGAATCAATAAGAATGACGACTATAAGATCGGATAAGGACTGTAATCCCTATACAGTGATATAATAATTTCTTTAACCTCTACCAATAATTTCTCAAAAAATGGTTACTGCATGTTTCAGTAAGAATTTTTCAGATGAAACTAAAGTCAGTGTATAGACATGCACTAAATAGTTACTTTTCATATATATATTGGCCAGTTCCTGATATGTGGTCAAACTGTAGCTTTAGACCATTTGAGACCTTTCATGTAATTAATTGTTTCGATATATACAGAAATCTATTTAAGCCAAAGTAATCTGTGCCTTGGTTGCACCGAGATTACTAGGTTTCATAATTTCTCTTAATCTGCGTAGTAACTTTTTTGCTTCGTCACTTATCTTTAGAACTATATTTTTGTACTCGTAGGTTAGGCTGAGTGTCTTTGTCTCCTGAGTCTTTGCATTAAAAAATGGCTGGGGTCACAGCCTCAACTGCTAGGTCTAAAAGCCATTGATTTGTGACTTTGCCCTATTAATATGTTAAGAGTCCAGAAAGTGTATAAAACATCATTACTTTTTTCTATCATTACTTTACGCATTTATTTATATAATCTTCTTCTATATTCTCTTAGTTTTTTAAACTTTTGTCCATACTCTTCCCTTTAAATTATTAGTGGGTCTCATAGCATTGAAAATATAAAATTCTTAGGCTTTTCGAAAAGTAAAATTATAGTTAAATACTTCAATAATCTTGTTTTTATTTATTAGTTGTTAATAAAAAAAATTTTTAAATTTTTTCTCCTTATAAATCTAGGTTTACAACATCAAGGAATATTCCGAGTTTCAGGTTCACAAGTTGAAATAAATAATTTTCGAGAGGCATTTGAAAGAGGCGAAGATCCTCTCGCTGATACAAATGATGCATCTGATATAAATTCGGTGGCAGGAGTATTAAAATTATATTTACGAGAATTACGTGAACCACTATTTCCATTTATTTATTTTGATAATTTTATGTCAATTGCAGGTAATTCAATCATTTTAAACCTTTATCTTTTACCGTTTATTTTCACAATTCTCTGTTTATTTTTTTCAATACAGAAATACGTTCGAAAAACGAAATTGTTGTTGAAATTAAAAACTATTTGCAAAGAATTCCTCGTAATATTGTGATCGTTATTAGATTTCTATTCGCGTTTTTACATCAGTAAGTTAAATAATAATTTACGTTATATTGTCATTACATATTTCATTATCTTAATATTTTAGTTTATCTGAATTTTCCGATGCCAATATGATGGATGCTTATAATTTGGCAGTTTGTTTTGGTCCAACACTAATGAGAGTACCTGAAGATAAAGATCAAGTACAATACCAAAATCAAATAAATGAGCTTATTAAAACAATGATTATATTCCACAACGAAATATTTGCTGAAGACTTAGGTGGTCTTCAATATGAAGATTATATATCACAAGATCAAACGATGGATCCGTATGTATAACTTTTTATTAATAATACAAATATATAATCTAGTTTTCTTACATAAAGATATTCCGATGAATCACAACTCGACGTACCGGCTGAAGATGTAGATTCTGAAAAATATTCGTCAGAAGATGGTGAGTTAAAATCCTATCGCATATATATCCTTTCATTTCAGTGACAATTATTAAAGGTTATAAATACGAGGTGTATTAAAAACTAAATTAATACACTAACTAAATCAAATTAACTACTAAATTAACTAACGTGCGCTACAGATTATGTATCGAATTGATTCTTGTGGTTGCGCTGACAGTAATGTATATGGTAGGTGCAATGCTTAGTTTGGTTTTACCGAGCGACCGAGTGAGTAACACTTTGGGCGATTTTTTGTATAGCAGCATGTCGGTTCAAAGAATTGTGTAAAATGTGTTAAAAACGCTATAAAGTGCATTGAAGTATTCAAAATTGACGATACACAACAGCAGACATTCAAGAAGACACTAAATTTAAGCGTCCTAATACGTTTATCCGAAAGTGCCTCCCACCTGCTGTTTCTGTCCAGCACATGCGCGGCGTCGCCTTAAATTTTTCGGGGTTTTCTTTTCGAGACCTCCCTCTATATAGCATCATAAGCTTTCTTAAAGATTCTAGATGGTTTTAGCCCATGGGTTCTCAATAATACGGTATCACAATGGGCCTATAGGTCTAAGTGGATCCTCCTGGGATCGCCGGTACAACCTATCCTAACACGTTTATCACCAGCTGCTAAAACAATAAATACTATAAGAAAGGTTATTTAAAAAATAGAAATTTTATTTTATTCATTCAGATCAATTTTTACTAATGTTTTGGACATGAAACAATAGCAAAATTTGTTGCAAACATTTGTTGCTTATTATAAGTTTCGTGATGAAACATAACATCACTCTAATGTATCTAACACCTTTTTATCTACATATGGCTTAATGCAGAGTTTTTCTATTTCCCTTTCTCAAGTAAACAAAACGTTTTTCAACAATAAATGAGATAAAGGAAAAAAAGCAATGCAAACTTAAACCTTTAACCCATACGGCATTTCAATAAGTTTTCAAAAGAAAAGGGTGGAAGGGTACTTTGAAAAGGCTAGAAGAAACATCGTTCTTTTATTTATATATATAGATATACATTTATATATTTATTATAAGAACGGACTGTGGAACATTACGACCTATTAAATTTCTTGTGCTGTTTTGTGCTCGCTAGAAAAGGAGTCCTCAAACCAAACTTGGACAATTTGAAAATGTTAATTAACCTAACAATATTTCTTTCTGCAAGATATTAAATCTCATTCACATTAGAGAAAAATACTTTTTTAAATAATTAAAAATTATTATTATTATAAAATAACGTTTGACTGTTATGAATACTTTGAACTGGATGAACTTAACATTGAGGAGTAAATAATACTTCTTGCAAAAACAATTAATTTTCATTATTTTTTTGATTACACCTTGTATTTATATTTAAATATATATTTGTATGTTGAAAATATTAATTTTTTTAGAATTGGAAGCAACTGTATTATTCGATTTTAATGCTCGATCTATGCGAGAGCTGTCGCTGCAGAAAGGGGACACTGTTATATTAAAGAAACAAGTATTATTAAGATATTATGTTGTTAATGTAAAAGTTGCAGAATATATATTTAATAACTTGTTATTACTAAGATTACTTTTTGTAATAGCTGTTAAAATGATTGAATGTTATGCTCGTATATTTTTGTTAATATTCTAGATAGAATTTTTAAAAATCCTGAAATATTTTGAATTTAATATAGTTCTGTAACTTTTAAATTAAATAAAATAATATGTAATAATTTTTAAAAACATATGATTTAATTTTAAGGTTTCAAATGATTGGTGGCATGGTATTTTAAACGGACAAGAAGGGCTCATACCTAATAAATATATTTCTTTAAAAACAAGGTATATATTAAATTTTTTGAAATATATATATACTTAAATATTTTGTATCTATTTTAGAAATGAAGAACGTGTAAAAGTTATTTTAGATGAAATGTGTGAAAAAATTAAACTTGAGAATGGCAAATCGCAAACCAGTGAAAGTGTTAAGTTTTCTGAGAATAACACTACGCAAAGTCCTTTTAAGTCTGATCCTTATCTAGATAGTAAAACTGAACAAAATTGCTCAGAGCATTCTAATGCAAGTACGAGTATTCGAAGTAGTTGTGATACACTTGACGTATTCGAAACGACTGTGTAATTATTAAGTTATTATTTTGTATTCGTAACTTTAGGTGATTTCAGATCTTATTATTTTATAATTGGTAAAACTATTTTCATATAAGAATAAGTTTCGTATTTAAAAACAATAATTGAAATTATAAAAGTTTCTTTAAAGTTTTAAGTGTCAAAAAAAACAAAAACAAAAACAAAAATAATAAAAATAAATATATATATTAGATTTAATTAAAAAAATATCATATGTATGTATACCTAAAATAACAAAACATATTTTTAAGCATTTTATGCATTTAATAAAAATTAAAAATAACATTTGAACAGTGTAACAAATTTATAATTATTATATAAAACGAATATTATTAAATTATTAACTTCAACTTGTTTACAATTATAAAATTAATATGTAATACTTTTAAAAAAACAAAATTTAATAAATATTTCAGTTGCTTTACCCATTCTTTCTTTTGCAATTACATAAATAGTGGCCAATCAAAATAAATTTAACAGATAATATTAACTTATAAAACACCAATTTTACATTATTATTCTCTATTAACTAACTAAACTATTTTGTTGCAGAAATATATAAAAAATTAGTAAAAAAAAAAAATATTTAAGTTACACAATAATTGCATGCTGAATTTTTAAGGGCAGTTAAGTAATTTATTTAAAATAAAAGCAGAAAATAGTTTTGAGTAAATATTGGATTCAACTTAAATACAAACTTATGTTTACGAATTAAAAAAGATTAAAAAGATATGTGAATATAATATATATTTATATAAAAATAAAAAAAATTTTAAAAATTTGTTAAGGCACATAAAACACAATACAATTAATTTTAGTTATTAAACTTTGCTTTGAAATTTTTATTATATTATTTCAAACTAATGTATACGCATAATATGCATTAATTACTCTTAAAATATAAAATTAATAATAATTTATTGGATATCAGTAGATGGAGATGGCGGTTCCGATTGTGAATTGCTTCTTACGCTATGTGATATTATTGACATATTATCAATACCCTAAAAAAGAAGAAAATACAAAAATATCTTAATAAATTTATATAAATATTTTAAAAGTGTTAATATTTAATATTAATTTTATATTTACTATACCCTGAGCTAGACTCACAGAAAACGCAGTTTACTTATGTTCAACTATCTAAACAGATAAAAGCGTTATGAGCGATGCGGTATTCAATAAGATTTAACTTCTTTTTTTATTTGTAAAAACAACTTAAATAAATAATGCAAACAGTTCTCTGCATAATATAACCAAGTAAGAATAAGTTACGTTGGGCTAAAGTGGCAGATGTTGCATAAAAGCTCACTTAAACACAAATAATGTCCCGTTGTTATATCACGGATGAGACAATATCCATACTAAAGGATCACATTAAAAGTAGAAGTCTGCAATCTGATGTCTATAATATTGAGTATATATTTAATTTTAAATAAAGACAGTTCTATTAGATCAGTAAAAAAAGGAACTCAAGATTTTGTATCTTGGCCTAACAAAATAAGGGCACTTACAAATAAGGTAGAGTATAGTTTCCATCTCATATGCAGAGTCAGAACTGAAATGGTCATAAGAGGGTACCTAAAGTCTTCATTATATTCATATGTGATATTAATATCGGAAATTGTATGAATCAGGCCCTCATTTTTCTAAATAGTGTATTGAGCGATTATATTCGCCAGTGAAGCGAGACGCTAAAAACCAGAGTATGGAATAGTGCGAATTGTAAATAGTATATAAAAAATATCTTAAATGAAAATAGTAGAATCAGAGTTTTGCAGGAAGATACTATTATTTTGAACCGGAAACAACTATACCATGGCATGTCTAATGCTCGCGGTACCTTCTGACTGAACTTGAAGCTAAACTAGAATGGACCGTTTTCGAGGTAACCAATTAGGAATATACTCTTGCTTCTTCTTTTCGGCTGATATCACAATTAACGACTTTGGAACTTCTGTACCAGTATTCACCTCGATTTATGTTTCAACAACAGCAATATACTTAAAAAGAACATTTTGTTTTGCTAAAACAAAGCTTTGGGAATGTTTAAGCTGTTATGTTTTTGTGTAAGCAGCCCCGACGATTAAAAACCTCTCTCATGCAATATTTTCCAAATGCAGTCAAGTGTAACGACAATAACTTCTATAAGCTCTCTGATTTTTAAGTATTCATAACCTAAATTGGTCAACCATCCCACTTTTAACTGATGCGTTGTGAAAGGACAACAGTAATTCACAATAATGTTTCTGTTTCTTTCCTTAATTATACTTAATCATAAAAATATTCACAGTACAAGACTACTAATTTTCATAGAATTAAAAAAATATGTACACCGTGGAGCATCTGTTTAATGTTTGGCCGCAAAAAGATTTGCTGTCACCCTATTTAATGGTTAATGTTTAAGAAAAATAACACTATGTATAATTTTACGTGTTGAGTTGCTTACAATATGACTTTCTTGTATCACAAAATCAAAAAAAACAACTGCTCTTCAAAGATATGTATGCTTAAGATTACTTAAAATATATTTAAAATGAAATATCTTTGCAACTCACCTCCAAAACATCTTTTAAACAAGACATATTTTCCATTGGACAGGGTGATCTGGGTTTATCGTCTATTTTTTCGGATGCATGATATTTAGATGAATATTCTATATAAAAGGTTTGAAATATTAACATATATAATTGTTTTTATCTTAGGTATATCTTAGTTTACCGTTATTAAAGTTTAATATCTGTCGTGTTGAAAACCGTGACGTTTGTGAATGAGAAAATATATTGTCAAGTCTGTCCGCTGTTTCAACAGTTGTCGGAAGATCAAGAAGTCTTTGATTTTGTATTCCTTCTCCTGGACCCATATGCGAAATATGATTAAAATTAGTAGGAGCAGATATCATTTTAGAACGCCTATCAATACTAAAAATTTATCAAATAATGATTTATCTTTTTAAATAAAAGTTTAAAACTTACTTTTTAGCAGTTTTATTCACTTCTTTAAATAAAAATTTCTTCTTTTGATTATTGCGCTCAATTCCATGTATATTTAAAATTTCTTCTATGAAAAGTGAAATGTAAAATAAAAGTTATAGTATAAATGAAAGTAAATGTTTTCTTACTTATATGTATATTTGCTAAATAAATTATTAATGGCGAATCGGTTAAGTAAGATAGAACAATATTGCCTTGATTATTTAATGGTTGTGAACGTTTAAGTCCAATCGATTGGACCCAGTCTGCTGTTTGCGCGTTAAAAACGTCGAGATGAGTTTCTGAGAAGACTAACAAATGACCATCCGAATAAGCTAAAAATGGTGGTTATTACAATAAAAAAATATTTTTGCAAATTAAATATTATTTTACTTATGTGTGTTGGTATAGCAGGATAAAGAATTTCTCGATCTCGTGATTTACGACCTTGCATATCGACATAAATTGCAAGTGTTTGAAACACCAATAGATATTCTCCGCCTTTTGGTCCAGATGGTATTTCAATAATACAAATAGCATCAACTCCCGAGTAATTTAAAAAGGCACATAATTGATTCTCTGGATGTATGAGAGCTAATAAAAAATTACAATAATAATATATAATTTTGAGTTCACTATAAATATACATTAAAATAGTTAAAATGATGAAGTTGATGAAAACTTACACATGGCTTTTGCTTCTCCTTGGAGAAAATAGGCTGTAAAGCCACTTTGATGGCCAACAATTAGACGCATATCTGATAAAATTTGTAAGCTTTGTACTGGATACGCTACAGTAAATTCACAAATTTTTTGATGCCTATAGCGATTGCGGTTAATTTCGTACACAACAATTTGCGTTTGGTTTGTTGGTCTTTTTAATCCGATGATAAACGAATAAACAGGATTTGGTGAATTTTTAATGATACCAGTACAAACGGCAATACAACTTTTTGAGTCCACAACTTTAATCCAATCAACATCACTTATTTCGAGAGCCCTAATAGGTAACAGACGTAAATGACGCTGTTTCCCACATAAAATGACTAGAATTTGCTCTTCTTCAACGTAGAAGAGTTGTATAATTTTTTTATTGTCACCAATTCGTGCGATTTCTAAAAAGCAAAACAAAAGCAAATATTTGAAAAAACAATATAATTACCATAAAAAAAAAACAAGTAATAATTACCGTTTAACTCTAGATTAACACTAAATAAACCATCCTCACTACCTATAAGCATTTGATCAGGATATATAATAAGTGCAGAAGTAGCGTTACGTAACACGGATGAAGAACCATCAAGAAGTTCATGAACTTTAAATATTGAGGTATTCGGAAGATTATTACGTTTTAGAATACGATGCAGTTCACTTAAAGCCACTACCCACTTAGTTTTTTCTGATTCGTTATCAGCTAACATAAGAGTATTTAACGACGGACCTCCTTCTAAAAGGGAAGTTTTAATCTGTAAAATAGATAAGCAATACAATTAACAAAAATATTTCATTTTCTTATATTTATTATATATATTTACCCTAAATATACATGGTACATCCTTTTTGTTAGCATGTATAACATCACTTTCTCTTACACTAGCAACAGAAAATTCTGGATCTCTCATATCGAGTACTTGGGTTACGTTAACACTTGGAAGAGCAGTACGATCAGAAGATATATCATATAAGAAGAGTTTATAGTCGCATACGACGACAAATTGGCGAACCCAGCCACGTTTAACAGTACCCATTTTTGGCACTTTTACATAACCTTCATATGCAGTACCAATACCACGTGTTGGATCTATGCCAAGAGGGCGTTTAATTTGATCAGAAGGCACTGGGCATATAGTTGGAACTTTTTGACAACAAGATGTATGACAAGCAAAACCACAAAGTTCACAGACAACACCTTGTCGCGTAAGACCAACCATCAATGATGTGCAATGATTGCATTTCGTAGGACTACTAAAAGTTCTAACCAAAAATTGATGAATTCTAATTTTCGACATATTAATAGTTGAATTTTCTGAAGGATTAATGCTTAGGTTGCTCTTTGATATATTTAACAAATGACTGTCATCCATACCATTACTACTATTATCTAGAAAATTATCACCATAGTGATGTTGATTCATGCTACTAGAACGTTCATCCGATGCAAAATGAAAATAATTTAATTGACCAGTAATATCGGATGAATCTTTAAATTCTTTCGATAAAGTGCTTGTGTCCGAATTTAACTGCAAATAATAAAAAAATAATTTAGTTTTTTACATAAATGTATATACATATATATGCGATTTATTAACAATACATAAATACTTCTAACTGTAGTTTCTTCAATTTTAGAATTAAAAATTATTTTAAGTATCAGCATTTAAAAATTCTTCTGCTTTAATTGAATAGAGATAATTAAATTATGTAGTGGCATATAATTAAATTTATTAGTATTAACCATTTTTGATATGTTGGAGGAAGATTTTTTATCCTTCAATATTCTCTATTTCGGTAATTAATGAAAATATATCTCTCATACGATTTTCTTCGTTTAGTAGACCAAGAAGTCGCATCCCAAAGTCTGAAATGACTTCGAAACTAAATACCCTGTGTAATTACAGACATTGAAAGACTTAATGATATTTACATATTTCTTGGCTTTTTCTAATTGCATCTGTATCTACTAATTATATATCATAAACTTATTATTTTAAAAAATACTTGTTCATCTATTACAATTAAACAATACTTTGTTTTCTGTTAATCTACTTACCATATCATCACTAAATGACTGCTCTCTGTTTTCCAGTTCAGCTTTATTCGAATTACTAGTTGAATCCTTAAAAAAGTAGTTCGAAATTTGTGATAAAGATCTCTTTTGAACTGTTTTTTTTTTTGAATTCAGCCATTTTATTTTAAGTGAAGCAGTACCACAACGATCCATTCGTAAATTGAAATTTGCATGAAAAAAAAAAGATTTTTTCCTTTATTATAAACACTTAATATATAAGAACTATAAAATAAATACTTATAAAATGTGCAGATTATATATTGAGTATTTACTATATATGTTTGTTATGTTATGTATTGAATATTCACTATATATGTTTATACACATTTGTACAAACAAATGTAAATATAATGTTCATTGATTATGAATGCAAACAAACAAAATTATTATATCAATGCAAAAATTAATATAAACAGAATTAAATGGGATATTTTAAATAAAGAAACCAGGTCTGTCCCGATACTTTGTAAAATCTTTCGAACAACACAACTCATCTAAACGTTTACACTCAGATTTATTCCGAGTTAGCAATATTTTAATCTTTTACAAAATAATATTCCTGGCGAATAATACAACCCATATTTAAATAACGATAATTAGAGAGCAATAACTTTCATTTTTAAGACTTATATCTGAATTATTATGAAAAAAAATCCGCGTTTATCTTTATGCTAAAGAGCAAAAGCATTAAATGTTAGTATTTTTCTTAACATGTAACTATTATGAAATAGATATAAGAAAATTTATTTGTTATTAGGGAATGACAACGTCAGATGTCGTCTCTGATTAGAAGATAATGAAGCTTTTTGTCATATTATATGTAATTGCTTTATTCTTCTTGCAAATAAGCATAGTACTGGGTCAAAACTTTTCAGTATCGCTAATATAAGACGTAATGATAAAAAAACATTCTGCAATGTACAGGCAGATTTTTTTTTTGGCAGAAAAAGTATCTTACGGTCCTTCTCTAACTCTGGAAATTACTGATTCTGGTACTTTAAACTTATTTAACTTAAGACATAAAAACCCCACATATATTCGTCTTTATGTCCTGATATTTTGGCAGTGTATCCGTTAAGGAAAAGCCAGTAAATAGCGTTATTATATATACTTATTTTACTCCACCATATTATCTGAAGGAGTTTAAAGCTTGGACTGTTGGTAATGAATTTAAATTTATTCAATTATGATAGTGTTAATGACTGTGTTAATTTGATATAGCACACACATGATAAAAAAGAAAATCTTTTTCCCAAAAAAGTTGAATTTCAAATTAAGTTTGCATAAAGTATTAATTTATAGTTTAATCACTATACACATTTATTATTTAACATAAAAATATGTACATATAATCTACTAATTATACTAAATAACATATGAGTTTTAAAACTTTTCAATATATTGGTATCTTTCTAGAATGCAGCGCAAAATATCAACTATGGTCGCAGTGCTCCGCTCCATTGTGAGCTGGGTCCCTGTTTATTTCTCTACTCTTCTATTCTATTCTATTCTATTCTATTCTATTCTATTCTATTCTATTCTATTCTATTCTATTCTATTCTATTCTATTCTACTTTCTATTCTATTCTATTCTATTCTATTCTATTCTATTCTATTCTATTCTATTCTATTCTATCTTTCTAGAATAAAATAAAGCAATTTCAATAGTAATTTTCTAAACAATTTTGGGTATATATAAAATTTTATATTCTCTGTTATGTATGCTATATTTCTGATGTAATACATGATTGTATTACAACCTAATAAATCATTTGTCGTGGCTCACACCATTGTCTGTACGCTGACCACTGCTGTCCTTTTGACGAACCTTCTGATCTGCTTATGAACAACTCTAATCCATGATACCACAACAGGCTATTTTTTGAAGTCAAGTGGGCTTTTGTACAGAAGGCTGTCACTGCAACCTAACCTAAACTAACATCATTTATATCCACCCAATATTAATACATAATAATTATTTCCCATTATCCAGTATGAGCAAGGACTACTTCTCAAAGCCTGCCGCCAATGATCAGTTGTGCTGCTTACAACTATAGTTCGATCGGAAAGTAGGCCAACTTTCTTAGGAATTTATGCGATCTTCAGTAACCAAAATAAATAAAATTTACCTCAAATTTCTATTTACCTCAAAGTAAATTTAAACTACAAGAAACGTTTTTCATTACAAAATTACTTTTCGAACAGCGCAGTCATCATTTCAGTACTACAGCTCTACTTAAGGTTCGGCTTAAGTAGACATACATTCTTTGCTTTGTGCAGTAATTATTTAGTTTCTTACACTTTGCTTGGCAGTATTGTCTTATGCTCGTCTCTTAACATATCCTTGTCTTCCTCTATATCCCATATTTAAAGGACGGGCATTAAAAATTATTTTTACACTCTTCTTGCGTACATCCTTGCGATATCAACCAGTAATATAAGTCATAATAATTTAGCAAATTTAAATATATCTTTCACTGTAGAAAATCTAGAAAGCTCACCATTCCTCGTCATACGGCATTTCCTGTCTTGAGTTCTTACAGTAACAATTATTTTTCTTAGAATTTTCTTTTTGAAAACTCTAAATTTAGTCTAGTCGTAGTATAAATCAATATACTGTTACCATAGCCATACGCTATGGTGGGTCTTATGTTTCTTTTATAGATTTTGAGTTTACATTGGGGTATATGATTCGGAATGAGAATATTTTTTTTTTGGTACATAATATGCTTAACCTGGCAGTCGTGCATATTATTATAAGTATTAATTAGTTCGTCTCGGTATGGAAATTCTGAAACACTTTTCAATTAATACTCATCGTTTTTGAATCTTATCTATGTCTTTTCGTTTCAATGTTTACATTGTTCACATAGCTTTTATCAATATATACAAAAAAAAAAATAAAGTCTCATAAAAACCATTACATGTGATTAGTCTATATTCACAGCTAAGTTAGAAATATAATATTGTTATTGTTGTAATCCGCTCTAATTAAAGAGCAGATTACAACCCAAAAGTGATCTACTTGTGTAGACGTTTAGGATGTGGCGAGCAGCATTTGGTCGTTTAACTCACCGAGTGGCTCCGGGACATAGACCCGATCGTTCTAGGAAGTATAGAAAGGCAATAGTATACTTGTATATATGTGATAGCTCCGGGACATAGACCCGATCGTTCTTGGAACTACAGAAAGGCAATAGTATACTTGTATATATGTGATAGCAACTTTACGTGCTACTTTATAATAACTACTACAAAATATTTACTTATCTACGATTTTATTATAATAATAATATATAAAATATAGATAATTTAATTTTAAAAAATTAACAATTGTAAAAAATAAGTAATAATAATTAATAATTGAAACAGCAATTATAGCAATAAATTAGCAGAACTGGGTGAGTTTCTGTATATGAACTATCTAGTATATATAAAATTTAAATACAATACAAAAGAATAAAGACTTTAAAAAAACTATGAACAAAAAAAATGAAAATATTTTAAAATCAACAACTTTATTTTTACTTTTATATATAAATATATATATAAATAAATAACTTGAAAATAATTAATTTGTACGCTATTAACACCTAACTTCTGGCTGTTGATACATAGCCATTACGTAGTAATAATAATAATATGCCAACAATACATGAAGTTATTCCAAGTAGTAAGGAGTTCTTATATTTATGAACTCTTCTTTTGTTCTTTGCTGCTTTAATGCATTTCTTATTTAAACGACTTGATCTGATTGGAGATTTAGTGCTGACATTTGAATAAAATTGGGAACTCTGTTCATTATATCTTTCAATATTTTCTTCGCTTTTAATTAAACCGCCAAAAAAGTACCAAATTTTTTTTATATACGAAATTTTAGCTATTGGGTGATAGTCCTTTTGGTTGGTTTTATTGTTAGAATTATTCACCAAAAATGTTTCGACGGAGTTGTCTTCGCCACTTTGAGAAATGTTATTCAGATTAGGTTGTTGCCGAATTTTATCTAAAAATTACAATTTATTAGTAAGACCGGCACCAATTTTGGCTAATTTTGAGCATAATTTTACGTATTCAAGCTTTAAAATGCTTTAAAGCAAGTTAGTATTGAAGTGAACTGGTTTCAACAAAGCTTGATTAGATGAAAAAAACAAAACATATTTTTTTCATGCCATACATAACTTAATTTAATATCTGAAAAGGAACAGATAAAAGACAAGTTACATGTTAGTCAAGATAACTGTTGTCTCGTGTAAGCCAAAAAAATGTATCATGGGGGTTCAATGCATTAGCATGATAGAAACACGTTAGTACTAGGAAAAAAATCGGAATATGTTTTTTTTTATTATGTGATCATGACATATCATACTTTTACATATTACCTTAAGAGCGAGATTTTAAATTTAATTAACAATTGTTACTTGGCTAATGCGATAGGTCTAACATATATAGCAAATATAGCAAAAATCAAGCTTAGTAAATTTAACAATTACTCAATTTAATGCAATTTTTTAGTAGTTGTCTGTACTGTTCAATATGTGGTATATATTTTGGTAAAGTTTGAGGTAAAATAAAATGTGCGAAGAAAATTTATTTTTTATATTAATATGCACTATATATTATGTAAATATAAAAAGCTTATTTTGGTAGAAGTGTCTTGTTTTTAAGCTTTAAGTAAAAAAATATATGTGTATATATATTATAATAAAACTACAATATATAAATAAGAAGTCTCTCCTAAGTTCCAGTTATTTATTTGTACTATATTTGGGTCATTATTTGTGTTAAAATTTGCTTAAGTGTACAAGGTCACCACTTCAACCTAATCCAAATTTTTCTTGTAATTTTCCTTTTTGTAATAATTTTAAAAATTAATTTAGAGTATGAAAAAATGTGAACATCATTTCTAGATATATTGACTATATTTTATAATTTATATTTTTATACTGTTTGATTTTGATGCAAAAGGAAATCGCTTAAAATGCATTTGTAAAATGCGACTGCAAGTGGGTCTATTTTGCACCTTATGAAACTTATCAACTTTTTAAATTATTAAAATAATAGATGTCATTGTCCATTTTAGTTAGATTCAGCTTTATAATTATCAATTGTCAACCCTAGAACAGAGCTAAATCCATCATTTTTACAGTAGAATCGACATTCTTTTAATTCGAAAATGTATGTAAGCAGTAGTTGCAGTGCGTTTGATCGCTGTATATAATTTCAAATTGTCTTTCAAATGGAGGTGTGTCTTCTCTAAAATTTTTTTTTTTTGTTGAATAATAAAAATTTTATTGTATGTATTAACTCCTTTTATTTATTTATAAAAGAATTTGTGTGCTTCATAAATTGTGTACTGTTATGCCTCTTTTTTGCTATGTCATTTTCAATGCCAAATATTGTCAGTATAATGAAAATGGGTAATTATATGATGTCATATTCGCATTCTTGTCAAGTGATGAAAACGCATTTGACACACCAGACAATTATAATTATTATTTAAAATGACATAGTGAAAACAAGGCATTACTTTCACAATATGTCATATATCTATTATATTTTATAATCTTTGTAAACGGTTATATTTCATTACAATCTTGAAACATTTATTTCATACTTTACATATACTTTGTATTATCATTTTTATACCAATAAATCTCCCTACGACCCGATTGCAGATAAATTATAACTATTTGGAAATACCAAGAATCTGAGCCCTAGTTGCCATCCTATGCTAATACTATCCTAGGTCCTAGCTTTGCCAATGCTCACAATATTGATATATTAGTGATATAGTGATATATTTCTAACTTATTTGGTCAAACAACCCGTTTTTGGCTATCAGCCTGACACAGCACTTTTGTTTATGTACATCTCCAGTCTTGTAGATCATGTGTGATTATATATACTACGTTTTCATCTCATTAGCCGTTAAGCTCATTTTCATAGACATACTAAGATATATTAATTGTTATAATAATAATTTAACATATTATTTTTACAATACCGAATTATTCGATAGATGAGAAAATTCGTAACCCAAAATTTTGGTATTCTTATAAAATTGATTTCGGTATATATAATATGGTAATATGCTACCATATTCAGGCTGCATCTAATATTTTATCTCGACGAGCTCCAATCACTATAAGTAAACGCCACACCTATCTCAAACACACATTCAATATATTGACATTCTTAAAGTCTCTGACTCATTGTAAATTTCGACAAATCATAATCACTATGATAATTTTAACTCTATTAATGGGTTAGAACAGTATTTTTTTGATCGATGTTTATGTTTAACACGTCCAAATGTTTTTCATACATCGTTTTACAAATATCAAATATATCATCACTTTGTTGAATTGTTATAAAATTTTATAATATCGTATAGAGCTCATCACTTTCTTAAAACCATGTATTTAACGGGGCTTACTGGGTGTTATTTTTATATGGGGTGTATTTTTATTGACAACATAAAGAACTGAATTTTAAATTTGAAGAAGTTATTTATATTTCCTTTATGATATTAACTTGACATTATATTGTTGAATATTTTTAGTTTATTTACAAAAAGTGTAGATCTTGAGTATTTTAAAAAACTTTTATATTATTTAAATATCTAACCTATATTGAAATACCATGCAATATAAATTTTTTGAAATGTAATAATCTATTAATATTGATAATAAATTGACGCTGTTTTAATGATTTCACAATGAGCACTGAATAGAGATGGAGCAGGTTTTTTCATAGTTTAAATTTATAATGTATTTTAAAGTTTTTTAAGTTATTACTTTAAACTACAATTTACGTGATAGCAAATATGGTCATATGGTTATTTAAAAAAGAAGCTACAAAAACTTAATCTAATTGTTTATTTAAATATAACAATAAAACTAAACATATGCGATTAAAACATGAATAGAATTGCGAAACCGTTAAATTTTCAAGTAAAACAAATAGTTACATAAAAAATAAAATAAAATTTTATAAATGTACTTACAAGTATCTGAACAATTACAACTTCTCTGCATATCACGTATTTGGCAATCCTTGTGTTGTAATTCGGTTATAGCAGACTCACACCGTTTTCTACTTTCATGTAGATCCCTTTAAATAATAACAAATATTATTATATATTTATATATTATATTGTTATTATATATTATTATTATATATTACTATTACATAATATTATTATTATATATTATTATTACATAATATTATTATTATATATTATTATTATATAATATATTTTTATTTAAATATTATTTATATTTACTTTTGTGTTGCAATGAGTTCAGCTCTTGTTTTGCTTAACTCTTCGGAAATTGTGGCTTTTGCTTGTATTTCAGTTTGAAGTGAACTTTGCAGATTTAGTAATTCCATTTTATCTAATTTCTGCGAACGCCTATTTCGCCAATTTAAATTTTCTGAAGAATTTTGGTAAAATGGACCTAGAGATTATAAAAAGATGTGAAATTAATATAATAAAATTTAGTTATATAAGTAATATACGATAATATAAAAAAATATTTACCTGTTTGCTTAAGATATTCAAGCTCTTCGGTCATTTTTGTAGCTAAGGCTTGTAAATAACTACGTGCATCTTTTTCATCTGACACCCATTGTATTATTTCTGACATCTGTCGTTCCCATTGAGAAATAGCTTCACGTTTTAATCTAAAAAACATATATATATATAAGGATATTTAAAAAAAAATAATACATTATTTTTAAATTCTATATAAAACACATGCGTTTTTTAAATTATCTTAGATTTAATGTTTAATGATAAATAATTAAAATTAAAAACATAAAACAATATTGATTTTATTAAAAATTTTATATAAAAGAACAATTAAAAATAAGTTTTGTGTAAAACAAAAAATTATGTTATAATATAATGTTACCTTAGTTCTTCAAACGTGTTTTCACTTTCCATTTGTTTTGAGTGTAAATGAAGAATATTTTTATTTTGTACATCGATTTCTGCAAGCATTCTACACTTTTCTTCCAGCCAGTTATTTCGTTCTTGATCGATTTTATTTTTCAATTCACTTATTGTATCAGCCGTATCATTTAACGAATCTAGTCGATTAGAATCATAGTTTTCTCGTATTTGTTGCAGTTCTTTATATAATAACTCCCGATGTTTTTCTGATTCATTAAGCTGTTCGCGTAAAGCTGATGTTTCCATATTATGCCGTGTCTGCTGTTGATCAAGTTGTTCATTATACTGTACTTCCAGACGTTCCATTTCATATCTGGAATTATCTGAACTATAGCCAGAAGTAAACGACATACTCCCATCTGAATTTGTTTTTGTACGTAATTCGTTTTCAATTTGTCGACAATATTCTTCCGATCGCTCCCTTTGCTTTCTTTCTTTGGTTGCCTCTGTAACAGCATCTTCTACTCTTAATTCCAACTCTCGACGATTTTTATCAGCTTTCCTGAGCTCATTCCTAAAACCGTCAATTTTTTTCATAACAGTTTCCAGTTCTTCTTCTTTATCGCGAACCTAAAATAAAAAACATATTTGAAAAATATATATTGATTATATTTCATATATAATTTACCTGACGTGATAATTTTTGCTTTTGTGTACGCAGTTCAGATAATTTATCTGTAACTTCTGAATATTCCATCATTGCTAAATTTCGTTGACTTATCGCATCTTTAAGTTCTTCTTCTTGTTGTTTTGAACGATCGAGCGCCTCAGTGCACTTTTTGACTAGATCACCATTTTCTCTTCTTAATTCGTTTATATCCTGCTCCAACTTTATTACGACAATTTGTTGTAAATTATCAAGTTCATCTGAATTTTTTATATTAAATGGTTTGTTTTCATCCCAATTCAGTTTTTTTAATTGACTTTCTAATTCGAGATTCTTCTTAGTTAATAAATTGACCTCATCCAACAGTTGACGATTATCATCATAAGATGATTTTTGATAATCTTGGTAATCTGAATTTGAAATTGTTGAACCTTTATTTTTTTTATTCTTTATATGTATTGCTTTTGGTTTTCCCAGATCAGAAAGGCAACAATTTTTTGAAAATGTAAAACCAATAAAAGGTAAATGAAGTCCTGAAAAGGCTGGATTCGATGTTGGTGGTACTGTATCAGAAAGCCGCATATCATCATCTACATCAAAATTCGATGTGTCTGTAGGGCTTGATACTTGTGGTATATAGGGTGCTGTTCCTTCTTTTAATGTTTCCCAATTTAAACCTTCAAACCATGGATGGTTTTTAAAATCATCAATACCATTTTGTCCTAAACGATATTCAGGAGCGCAAATAAGTTTTCGTATTAAATCTTTTGCATTTTCCGACACCACAAAACTTTCGTTTTCATGTGAGGGAAAATCAAAACTATTTTGATGATTCATTATTTTCCCATACGTCTCCACAAGACTTTCTGCATAAAATGGAGTTTCACCGAAAAGCATTTCATACATGCAAACACCTAGCGACCACCAATCGCATTCAGCTCCGTATTTACCTTGGCCATCTTCCATTGCACGTAAAATTTCTGGTGATATATAATCAGGCGTACCAACTGCAACATTCGATTGCACCATGCCATCAGGACCCAATCGTAAACATGATCCAAAATCAGCTAAACGTATGTGGCCAGTTGCATCCAAAACCAAGTTATCAGGTTTTATATCACGGTGAACATATTGAAGTTTGTGTACACTATTAATTGCTAATATCATTTCAGCAATATAAAACTTTGCCATATCTTCGGGTAGGTGATCCTCAAATTTACTTAATAATGTTAATAAATCGCCTCCACAATAATAATCCATAACCAAATACTAAAATTGAAAAAGCAAAATATAATATTAATATATTATATAAATGCTATATATACTCTTTTAATATTATTCGAAATAAAGATATTAACATAATAATGCAATAATAATATTATAATAGTCATATGTATTGCATATGCATATTTATCAGAGCTGTGAACCTTATAAACTTCTGAAGTAATTCGGTTTAGTGCTTTAAACCGATTTATCGTGCCTCTTCTCCTACTATTTCACAAAAAATTTGCAAACCCACAATGGTTTGATTCGAGGTTCGGTTTAATAACACTGAAAATTTAGAGATTCTAGCTAAAATTCGATTCTTATTTGAACCGGTTCACAGCGCTGATATTTATAAACACATAAATATACATACATATATGTGAAGAAGTGAAAAATAAAATTTATTTATTTAAAACATAATTTATAAAACAAAATTAATTAAATAACATTCTTTTCATCCAAATATAAATTTCAGTATCATGCATTTATAAACTTACTAAGTTGGTATCATCTTGGAAAGCATAATGTAAATTGGTAATCCATTGCCTATCCCCAAATACTAAAACATCTCGTTCCTCCCGAAAGCATGCAGTTTCCGCTCTTTTTAACATTTCCCACTTGTTTAAAATTTTCATGGCGTATATATTTTGAGTTTGAATCATCCGCACCACACAAACTTCACCAAATGCACCTCGCCCAATTATTTTAATTATTTCAAAATCATCACGAGACAGTCGTAAATGTTTTATAAGTGATACCACCGGTTTTACTGAAATCATATAGTTTATTTAAGTTAATTTCGATCTATTAGGTAACATATTAAACACATTCATATTGCATAATTATAAAGATTTAATGAAATTTTAAAGCTATAATATAAGTGATTTCTTATTTAAATGCTATTTGGAAAAAATATGCTTTCTGCAGTAAACATTAAGAACAATCTCAGTATTGCTGAACTGAATAAAATCTGCTGATGATACTGTAATGTATAAATGTAGAGTATATGAGAAAAATCCACACCGTTTTATTCCATAAAAAGTCGTAATAATATGTAATGCAAATATAAGTATACAAGATACAATATATAATAGCACAAAATATGTAAGACATAACATTTGTGGTATCCGATGAATTCACTTACTTGAATTTAATATTTTTCAACCGCAGGTACGTGTCATGCAAATACGTTTATATCCATATCTAAAGAATCATTATACCTATAATACTTATAATATTAACTGTATATTTAATAAAACTTATTCAGCTCAAAGTAATTCTATTCATTGCTAAGAACTTTTAACAACATTTTTGAACCAAACATATTTTCTTTCATAAATATATAACATTATTGATATAAGACTATGCTTTATACTTTTTACTACAACTTAAAACTTATAACTTTATCATCTATTCAAATAATACATAATAATAATACAGATAAAACTTTTATAAGTAGCAAAATAAACATTATTTTTTATAATAGTAATATAAAAATAAACTAACAAATAATGTAATATATATCACTATAATGAATATAAATTATTTGTATATCATTAATAGAATAAATTATTAATCTATGTAATACAGTTTAATGTTATATAATATTGATCATTTTAGTCATATCAGAAATAATTTTATTTAAAAAAAAAACGAATTCATATATTATAATTAAACATATATATTAGATAAATTACTTATATATTAAATAAATTAATTATATATTTAATATATTACTTATATATTAAATAAATTACTTATATATTAAATAAATTACTTATATATTAAATTTATTACTTATATATTAAATAAATAACTTACATATTTAATATCTTAAGTGTAAGTTAAAAGTCTATACTATATTTACTAAGCCACCAATAGATTTTATCACTATATATATTATTTAAACGTACCAAGTTTTATAAAATCTGATACAGTTTTCTCCCTTCGTAACGAAGAGTTACAACATTCATCATAAAGAACGAGTAAGGCATCCAAAAGCCCCTCCACTGAGATAGCTTTTCTGTCGGGAATAATAATATCTTCATCGTAGCATTTTTTCACGTCAAATATTGTAAACATTTCATCGTTGATTTTCTTTTCTAATATTATATATTCTAGCAGTTTGAATCTACGACTGTTGACTTCTGTTATCGAGCCTGAAATAAAAAGACAATTTTAAAATTGATAAATTGATCAAATCAAACTAATAACTAGGTTTTTTTTTTTAATCTATTAACTCTTCAAAACACTTTAAAATAATTTTTAACAAATATTTACATACAAAATAATATTATTAATGCTAAATATTATTTTTTTAAAAATTGTGTGTTAAAAATTATTTAAAAAATTATAAATATTAGAAACAAAATTGTTAATAATATTAACCTATATAAGAACAAGGATCAACAAAGGATATTGTTTTTATTTGTTCCATAATAAAAAAAATTGATTCATATCCACCGCAACAAAATAGTTGAAATAAAAAAAAATACAACCGAATTTGCGCATTAGCAGCGCCGGTAAACAAAGGCAACCTTTACGTAGATGGGTTACTCTTATGTTTTATATTACATGAGGTGCAGAACATATTTGTTTTTGTAATCATGTAACCAATTAGTGTGCTACCAATTTATTAAATTGTTTTTTTGAAAAGATAAAAATATTTTTGTTTATTTTATATATTTTTTCTCTTAACATTACTTTATGTTTATATACAAATCGAATTGAAATGTCATTTATAAAAAAAATGCACAAAATAAAAATATACTTTTCTTTTTTGAATGGTAGCAAACGACATTATTGATTACTTGACAAGAGTTTATTCACTTGTCTCGAATAGTTAATTAAAGAGATCCTTTTTCTTTAACACTTTTGAAAAAATTGAAAGAAAAATGTAAAATGGCATGTTAATATTATTTTGCAATTATTATTTAACCATATGAATACAAATTTTCATACGCACATAGCAAAAAAATGCACTGTCGGTATATATATTACGTATTAAATTTAATGCATAAAAACACAGCATATTAAAACAAATATATTTACCAAAAAAATCTGACTCGGAGTTTGAAGAACTCATTTTTTTAGTCTGTAAATTACAACCAGCTAAAAAATATTCATTTCACAAAATTCATACTACACTAGACAGGTTAAATATATATATGTATTTACATACAGTATTACATTCCTAAATATTTAGTTCACAACTTGGCGAAACAATGGAAATAAGAAAATGCCAAATAAAGAAATTTATATATGTTGAATAACAGAGAACAATTTTCTTAGACGAACGGATTGTGGTGAAAATTATTAAACAATTAGAAATTATAACGTTGTGCGCCGTTAAATATTTTTTTATTATTCAACGGTTTTAGATAAACTTAGGGCTGCTGAGCATAATTCTACAATGCGTATTTCGCCCAGACATTGAGATCTTCGGCAATAACAGGTTAAATTGCAATATAAATAATTAAAAATGGCAATATTAATATATTATAATTCATTGACACGTCGTTTTTTCGATACAAGTGTTGAAATTCATCCGTCAAATTAAAAAAACGGATAATATATTTATTGAAACCAGATGATTTGATAGAGATATTTGCAGAGGTTTAACGATTTTGTTTCCAACAGCATCTATCAGAGTCCTTATACTTTTCTGTAAGCAGTGTCATTTTAATAATAATAAATATTAGTAATATATTACAAAATATTAAGTTAAACAATAGATATGGCGGCATGTAACATTGCAAATAATTACGATAATGTCGCTGGCTTTTATTGAGTGAACTCTGCAATTTGCAGCATCTATACTCCTGAAATGTTTCGGTATTACATTTCCACAAAACAGCTAAATGGGTGATACATTTATGAATGTTAATTTATCATGACGGCGTTTAATATTACGCAACATAATTTGCCAACATTCTTATTCACACTCATTAATATTTGTCGAAGTGTGAACAGCAAAAATAAACTTATCTCGATTATATATGAAAATTAACGACATGCATGTCAATATATCGAAATGGATTGATTTTTATTACTCCACATGTAATTCTGGCAAATTTTGTTCTTACACATAAAACAAAATAAATTTGGTAATGCGACATTCCAGATTTATGAATGTTGTGCTTTAGTTTATATTTCATTTTCTGCCAACATTTATACAGTGACGATCAAACTATTATATAAAAAATTCAAAAAATCAATATTTTTGTTAAACTTTGCATGACATTGTTACTTGCACAGTAGAAGTGTATAATATTTGTTATATATAATTGAACAATTTGGCTATGATAATAACGATATTTATTATTTGTTTGTATATAATATAATATAATATTTTATTAATGCTTATTCATTGTTATGACAAAAGCATGGTAAACATTTATATTTGAAACAACTACAATATTTTTTAATATATTTTATTAAATTGATATAACATTCATTTTAAAATAACATAATATTGATATATATTCTACTTTGAGCAGCTTTGTATATAAATGAAAAAATTTGTTGAATGACACTCAAAATTTAGAACGAAACTTGGCAGCAATGTATTTGATAATTCTTATATGTCAAATTATTAAAATCGATAACACATTATTATTATTTCGATAATTTATGGTCTCTTTTCGTGTGGACCTCAAGAGAAATGGTAGTGTATACGAAATAAATCTATAAAATTCTTAATAATCATAAAATATTTTTGTTAAATTTTAGGCTGCACATAAAACATTTAAAATTAAGCAAAAGCTTGCTAAGAAATTAAAGCAAAATAGATCTGTTCCACAGTGGGTTCGCCTACGTACTGGAAACACCATCAGGTAAATTTTGTAAAATTTGTGTATTAATGAATTCCGCAAATATTGTCTTCATATCAAAATATTGAAAATTTGTGGCGCATTAGTTTTAGTTTAAAATGTAAAAATATAGAAATTTGCGAATAGAATGATGGTGCATTCGTTAAAATAATATCAGAAGACTGTGTTATGCGCAATTCAAATAAATTTAGCTTTTACTATTTTTTAAAAATGAAAATTCTTTAAATAATTGTGCATAACCCTAAAAGTTTATAAAAACAACTGCGATGTGCACCAATATTATTTGTAATAAATACTAAAGTTGTTTCGCTACATATTTATAAATCAAATTATTTGGGTTCATTAAATAGTGATATTTGTCAAAAGAATATAATATATTAATTTGATATAACTTTCAATTTCAGATACAATGCTAAGCGCCGTCACTGGAGACGTACCAAGTTGAAGTTGTAAATATTTCACTTACAACGGTTCCAGACTTTAAAACTACAAATGATGGATGTAATCTGTACTTTTAGTAAATAAAACAAACTGAAAATAACATTATTTGTATTTTATATGGTTCGGGCATTTAAGACAGTTTTTATAAATATGTTGTTCTGGGAATAACTCTTTGGTTCTGTTAAAATTATATTAATTCGTCAGTGAAAGTGCAACTGATATTTGAAGCTGATATTGGTCATGTGATTTAATACAAAGGGTTAACAATTAAGCAGTTATATGAAGTAATGTACTTTTAGTGCAGTAATTGTCATTTTTTTTAGAAAATAGAAAATTTGAAATCAAAATCTATATCCGTAAGAAATTTTTATACTAAGTTCATATTTATAATGTTTGAACCTCTAGTAATGTTTTATATAAAAGTTGTCACATTATGTGGGGACATTATATATTTTAGCAGTATATTTTTCAGTTTTTCAAAACTGGAATCATTTCTGATATTAGTTACGAGTCTAAACCTCCATCAGTCAATTGTATTGTACGTTTTTTTGACAAAAAAGGGGGGGAAGCCAAATGCAGTGGTAGAATTATATAGGTGACATTAATTATCGCGTTTCGGAGCGAACAAAAGTTCTTAATATTCAAATTATAATGTGATTATTATAATATTAATTTGTTTATGACTAAATTTATGGGAAAGCAGATAGCATTCATGTGCAAAACGCTGAACATCTTCTATTTTACTTTTAATAAAAACCATTTACATTATTTTTTTTTGTATATTTCTTTTAAAATTTAAATTCCTATTCTACTTAAAAAAACAGCCACACCAAAAATACAATTAAATTTAAATTTATCTGATATATAGTAATCTATTTAATTTTTCTTGACGGTGATATCTTATAACGAGCAAATATTTCATTCTTAAACGTTTCAAAACGCTTTCGATTTAAATTATTTTGTTGTTCACGCCAAACAGGACGGGATTTCTTTTGTTGCAAGCCCCAATGGCATGTAAATATGGGCGATAAAACAAAAAAGGAAAACCCAGCAACGTACATTTCGTACACCTGAAATAAATTACTTATATCATTTAAATTTATATTTTATACCTGTTTTAATTTTATACCTGTGAATTTCTAGTAAAACCATAACCCATAAATCTTTCATCATGTGCAGGCGCATCATCTACAGCAACAAAAAATGGTTCATAGAGAAATTCAAAATTTGTTACGTTGTGACTTATATGAACCGTTTCCTCAGTTTCAGTATTGGAAAACCATCTATTTTTCATATATTAATTATAATTATACTATTTAAGCAATTGATTATTTACCTTGAAAAGTTGGTAGCATATTGATTGTATATGAAAACCTTTTCATGAAACGGTCTAGCAAGACCTTTTCTATATAAACGTAGCAACTCTTTCTTGGATGAAGGAAATTTAACACGAAAATCAATTTCAAATGTGGGAATAACATAAGCACAGCGATTAGTACAATATTCATTACGAAGAAATAAATTTAAAAGTGGAACAATATTGTCGCTAGGAACAATATCGACATCGGTTAGAAAAACAAATTTTGTTTGACAGCCTTTTCTTGCAAAATTGCGCATATGATTCTGTGGATAATTATTACGTATCCGCCAACGCATTGTTTCTATAGACCGTGTTTTGAGCAAGCGACGTAGAGTTTGTTCCGGTTGCTGACAATTAAAGCCCTTATGCATGTCAATCAATTTAGTTGATTCCGGATCAGGTTCATGACCGCGTGGTACGGCAATATGGAATGTAACATTATTTCGTATATTTATGAAGCATAAACGTAAATATGTTACATAATACTGTAATATAGTAAATTCTTCATTTCCGACTACAAATACTGCAAGTGATATTGGTCCATCCCATTTAACTGCTACTTGTGCCATGGAATCTAAACGTTCAACTGAGCTCTGTGTTGCAAGACAAACTAAACTATCAGCAGATGTTTTTGTATAATCATCTCCCACTAGCGCGAAGTCATACATTTTGTATAAAAGTTTATTATCCAAGCGACCAATTTTAAAATTTATATTGTTGAAAGCAAGCTCAGTTATTTGAACAGGCTCCTCTTTTACTGTTATTGTGCTCATTTTTGTGGTGTTTAAATAGCGCTAAGGTCTGATCTTTTCATTATTTACAAATTCATTTGATGTGAATAGTGGTGGAGCACTAATTATATTTTGTATTGGGCATTCGGTTCGCCTCACCAAATTATAGGTCCATAAAGAATTTATTAAAATCGTCAGCAGAATTAAAAACATTTTAAATGTCATAACTCTACCGTTTATCTATTAAAAAATATTTATTGTTATTATTTTTTCATATGTCAAGTATATAATAAAAGACAATTACCGCCATATTTATGTATTTTTTAAATCCAAACAAGTTTTTCGAAAGCTAGTGCTGTGTATACTTTGTAATACGTATGTATATATAGTTGCAAATACACATTTTTGACAGATGGGTCAACAGGGTGATAGATAAAATAATTATTATATTAATAGAAGTGGTCTGTTCCACGAGCTAATCGTAGTAAAACTCGAGTAAAACACAAGTAAAATACAAACTGAGAGCGTAACACAAATAAAGTGGCAAATAAGACGAGCGCCAAGATAGCAACGATGCTGGGAGGTCCAAACCGGAATTGGAACACGAAATTTTTCTAAGTTTACTAATTTGTCAATATTAGATAAATTAAAGCTTTCTCAAGAAATAAGAAATATGACTTAGAAAGAAAATTCAATAATCTTTCATTTGGTATATAACTCATAACTGAATGTTGCGCAATAGCTGAGATATTCACAAAATAAAAAAACCAAATTTTTTAAAAAAACTGACTTTTTTTACTTAAAAAATTATTAAAAAACAACTAAGAGTTCGATGGACTTGCACGCACATGCATTTGAAAGGCAATAAATCAGGCTTTCAAATAAAGTAAAAATCAGAAAAATCGTATGCGTGGAATTCGCACAAAAACATGTCAAAAATCAATATCTTATCTCACTCCAGATAATACATTTGAAAAAAGTGAAAACGCAAAATGATCAGAAACACATCACGAAATACAATTTTAAATCGTCAATCGATTATTTTACATTTATCATACAAATATGATAAAAAATAACCTTTTTTTCTACCTTATTTTACTCTAACATATATATCATAGCGTGCAGAAGCCCGATGGCAATAAAGATATTTTTCCTTTAAAGACAAATATATCACCTTTCCAAAATAGTCAAAATCAAGAAAATCGTATGCACAGTTTTTCCATATTATTTTTTCAAAAATGGTTCATTTTTTATCAAAAATCCAATTAATTGATAAAAAACGTGAACCTCCACAGCGCCATATACGGCCCAGAAGCAAAGCAGGAGGCTTACTGCCATCTATAATTCGAAGCCAAATAAGATATGGTGTTTGTATTTGCTTAATGCATATGTTGTGAATAAATGAATTAAACAATAAAAAAAGCGACTATCTATCCGTTTAAAAAACATTAATTTAAAAAAAATATTATTACAAGAATCACAATGCACATAAAAGCCTTTAAAGATAACAAAACAAACTTTAAATTACAAAAAAAATCAGAAAAATCGCATTATTCTTCGAACAAGGCAATTCAATCAAATATGAAAATTATTATTTCTCTTAAAACAATCATTTGAGAAGAAAAGATAGATGACAAATGTTAAAAAATATATTACTAAGCAATTATTTAATAATATCAACTCAATATTTAATTCAAAGAAAAGAAAGAAAAAAATGTAATTTAAACCATTTTTATTAAAATTTTTAAATAAATTAATAATTTTTTTTTTAATTTTTCAGAATTCCGAAAAGAAAAAGAACAATCATTGTAAATATTTATACGCTTATTTATTTAAATATTAGTATAATATTTACATATACATCTTTATTAATTGCAGATTTCCAAATGCGACGCAGCCTCCAAAAACAAAACCTAGAGCTGGAAAAAAAACCAATAAATTAATTAATTAATTATAAATATTATATACATATATTGTAAGTAATATTAAAAAATGCGCTTAACACTATTTTTAGAAAGCTTATCTGCAAGCACCATCTACCGTTCGTATTCGCTTTATGGAATTTATGTATTTGTTGCAAATTAATTAATTAAACAATAAAAAAAGCGACTATCTATCCTTTTAAAAAACATTAATTAAAAAAAAATATTATTACAAGAATCACAATGCACATAAAAGCCTTTAAAGATAATAAAACAAACTTTCAATTACAAAACAAATCATAAAAATCGCCTTATTCTTCGAACAAGGCAATTCAATCATATATGAATATTATTATTACCCTTAAAACAGTCATTTGAAAAAAAAATAAAGATGACAAATGTTAAAAAATATATGACTGAATAATTATTTAATAATATCAACTTAATATTTAATTCATATCATACAAATTTCATCAAAAAATATTGGAATGTTTTTTTTGAGGTTATAATTTTTTGCAATCAAATATCTTACCGTGCAAAACCCCGATTGGGATAACCTATATGTCTATATAAAGACGAAGGAGTTTTCTTTCAATATTTCAAAATTCATAATAATCGTATGCACAGTTTTTTTTATAATGATTTTTAAAAAATTTGCATTTGATCAATAAATAAATTGAGTGATAGCGCCGAATGCGGAGTCCAGCAAATTATATGGGCTTGTCTGCAAGCACCATCTACCGTTCGTATTCGCTTTATGGAATTTATGTATTTGTTGCAAATTAATGAATTAAACAATAAAAAAAGCGACTATCTATCCTTTTAAAAAACATTAATTAAAAAAAAATATTATTACAAGAATCACAATGCACATAAAAGCCTTTAAAGATAATAAAACAAACTTTCAATTACAAAAAAAATCATAAAAATCGAATTATTCTTTGAACAAGGCAATTCAATCATATATAAAAATTATTATTTCTCTTAAAACAATCATTTGAAAAAAAAAATAAATATGACAAATGTTAAAAAATATATGACTGAACAATTATTTAATAATATCAATTTAGTATATAATTCATATCAAAAGAATTTCATCAAAAAATATTGGAATTTTTTTTTTGAGGTTATAATTTTTTGCAATCAAATATCTTACCGTGCAAAACCCCGATCGGGATAACCTATTTGTCTATATAAAGACGAAGGAGTTTTCTTTCAATATTTCAAAATTCATAATAATCGTATGCACAGTTTTTTTTATAATGATTTTTAAAAAATTTTCATTTGATCAATAAATAAATTGAGTCATAGCGCCGAATGCGGAGTCCAGCAAATTATATGGGCTTGTCTGCAAGCACCATCTACCGTTCGTATTCGCTTTATGGAATTTATGTATTTGTTGCAAATTAATGAATTAAACAATAAAAAAAGCGACTATCTATCCTTTTAAAAAACATTAATTAAAAAAAAATATTATTACAAGAATCACAATGCACATAAAAGCCTTTAAAGATAATAAAACAAACTTTCAATTACAAAAAAATCATAAAAATCGCCTTATTCTTCGAACAAGGCAATTCAATCATATATGAATATTATTATTACCCTTAAAACAGTCATTTGAAAAAAAAAATAAAGATGACAAATATTAAAAAATATATGACTGAATAATTATTTAATAATATCAACTTAATATTTAATTCATATCATACAAATTTCATCAAAAAATATTGGAATGTTTTTTTTGAGGTTATAATTTTTTGCAATCAAATATCTTACCGTGCAAAACCCCGATCGCGATAACCTATATGTCTATATAAAGATGAAGAAGTGTTCTTTCAATATTTCAAAATTCATAATAATCGTATGCACAGTTTTTTTTATAATGATTTTTAAAAAATTTGCATTTGATCAATAAATAAATTGAGTGATAGCGCCGAATGCGGAGTCCAGCAAATTATATGGGCTTGTCTGCAAGCACCATCTACCGTTCGTATTCGCTTTATGGAATTTATGTATTTGTTGCAAATTAATTAATTAAACAATAAAAAAAGCGACTATCTATCCTTTTAAAAAACATTAATTAAAAAAAAATATTATTACAAGAATCACAATGCACATAAAAGTCTTTAAAGATAATAAAACAAACTTTCAATTACAAAAAAAAAATCATAAAAATCGAATTATTCTTCGAACAAGGCAATTCAATCATATATAAAAATTATTATTTCTCTTAAAACAATCATTTGAAAAAAAAAATAAAGATGACAAATGTTAAAAAATATATGACTGAACAATTATTTAATAATATCAATTTAGTATATAATTCATATCAAAAGAATTTCATCAAAAAATATTGGAATTTTTTTTTGAGGTTATAATTTTTTGCAATCAAATATCTTACCGTGCAAAACCCCGATCGGGATAACCTATATGTCTATATAAAGACGAAGGAGTTTTCTTTCAATATTTCAAAATTCATAATAATCGTATGCACAGTTTTTTTTATAATGATTTTTAAAAAATTTTCATTTGATCAATAAATAAATTGAGTCATACAGCAACTAATTAGGGTTTAACAGCCAACACCATCTAGTGTTTGTTTTCGTTTTATGTGTGATAAATTTCAGGGTTTGAAAATGCTGGACTATTTTCAAGCAATTATTTTTGTTTACGAAAATGAAATAAGCAAAATGCAAATGCAACATTCAGTTTGCGTTTATGTTTCATACTAAATGTGTGCGAAGGTTGAAGCAATGGTAAGTATTATGAAATTAAATTAATAAAATATATTTAAAAATTTGTAATTTACACAAGTAATAATATTAAAAATAATAATATTATAATAATAATATTAAAAATATAAATATTAAATTTTTAATGCTTTCCTTTCAGAATCAGGATATATTAACTGGCGTATTGATTGGACTGCTGGTTGACGGTGAAAATGTATGTAAATAATTTAAAATATATATATATTATATTATGATTTATATTAAATGCAATATTAAAATAACATTTTTTGTCTCTTTCTTCAGCAACCCCAGCGTCAACAGCAGCAACGAAACCGCCGACCAGCAGGAAACTACCAGCGGCACCAGGAAAGTGTCCGACGACGGGAAGAAAACCGCCGACGACGCGAAGAAAACCTCCGGCGGCAGGATGAAAACCACCGCCGGCAGGAAGAAAACCGCCGGCGGCAGGAGGAAAATAGCCGTCGGCAGGAAGAAAATCGCCGTCGGCTGGAGGAAAACCGTCGTCGGGAGAAAGAAAACAAAGAAAAAAATGTAATTTAAACAATTTTTATTAAAATTTTCAAATAAATTAATAATTTTTTTTTTAATTTTTCAGAATTCCGAAAAGAAAAAGAACAATCATTGTAAGTATTTATACGCTTATTTATTTAAACATAAGTATGATATTTACATATATATTTTTATTAATTGCAGATTTCCAAATGCGACGCATCCAAAAACAAAACCTAGAGCTGGAAAAAAAAAACCAATAAATTAATTAATTAATTAATTTAAAAAAAATTCATTTTCATATATCATATATTTCATATATCATGTTTATTTTTTAATACATTTTTAATAAAAAAATTTTATTTAAACTTATTTTCATAATTTTATTAAATGATATATTATATACATATATTCCAAGTAATATTAAAAAATGCGCTTAACACTATTTTTAATTTCTTTTACATTTTGGAGAAATATTTTTCCCCTTGCGCCAGACCGATGCTTAATGCAAATTTTGTATGAAATTCTATACACGCGCGCATGCCTAAGTACATAGGCAAACTTTTTTACCTGCATCTTCTGCCTTGTGCGCAAATGAGGGTTGTGCAAGTGACTAATTATTATAAAATAATAGGTTATAAATGCACCCCGACCTAAAAGATCTATTGTGCGCTGCAAATGGTTTAACTTTGGCTACAATTTTCTAAACAATATTTAATTAATATTAAGTATAATATACATACATTTATTATTATATTAAAATATATTGAACTAAATAATTTAATCAAATTAAATTTAATTATTACTAAAAGGTATAAATTTTAATTAGCTTACTACTCTGATATATAATAATTATATTACAAAAACTATCATCTAATACATATATACATAAATTTACGTTAAAAGTTCATTAAAATAAACAATGGTAAAAAAAGAGTACATAAAAAAGAGTAGACATGGTGTATACATACATTTATTATTATATTAAAATATATTGAACTAAATAATTTAATCAAATTAAATTTAATTATTACTAAAAGGTATAAATTTTAATTAGCTTACTACTCTGATATATAATAATTATATTACAAAAACTATCATCTAATACATATATACATAAATTTACGTTAAAAGTTCATTAAAATAAACAATGGTAAAAAAAGAGTACATAAAAAAGAGGACGTATTTTTTCCCCACTCGTCTGTCTGTCGCCATTTGCTAATAATGCACTTGGTGACATGCAATGACATGTTAATTTGTGTTAACAAGTCGAACAATCATGTTGCACAATTTTTCGCGCGCGGTTCAAACCGCTTTAATTAATAAAATAATAAAAGTGGAAGAATTATTTAATATAAACAATACGGAAAGTTTTAAAAGTGTAATCAAAATTATAAATGAACAACAAAATACAAGATTTGGTGTTAAATGCAATTTGAAAACGAAAACAAAAATCATGCGAATCGCCAAAGAAGTAAGTTTTTAATTGTCTATATTAATATCCCACAAGATAATGAATTACTTTATGGTAATATAGTACAGTGCTTCTGTGTATTATTTTAATTCTTGTTTTTGAATAATTTTACCCATTATGTATTAGATATACATATTCAGTTGTTGTGCAAATTAACAGGGTTTGAAATTGCTTGACTATTTTCAAGCAATTTCTTCTGTTTACGAAAATGAAGTAAGCAAAATGCAAATGCAACAACAAAACCTACACAATACAAATGTGTGTGCACGAAGCTGTGTACAATCGTCGTAAGAATAATCGTAAGTAAGCCCATTTAAAATTATTTTGCGTTTTTGTTGTTGCAATTGGATTTTGCTTATTTCATTTTCGTGAACAAAAATAATTGCTTGAAAATAGTCAAGCAATTTCAAACCCAGCAAATTAAACATCATTTAATATTAATTACTTACATGTTTATGTTTCTTAATTACGAAATAGTAAATTTGCGTGGTAAAAAAATTTTCTATAATTATTCTATTATTGCAAAAATCACTGCATTATTAGTGTGATGATCTAATAATGGGTATTAGTAAAATTATTCAATAATTTAGTGTTTATTAAAATCATTATTATATTCTAAAATTTTTTGATCAATTTTTTATATTAATAGACAAATTTTTTAAAACAATTAAAAGCGTTTTTATAATTGGTAATTTCGAACTTTATTGAATTTATTTAATTATAGACAATTTTGTCAAGTTATTATTTAATCACTTTTTGTGTGTTGTTGCTTTCGCGTTCGATAAAACAAGAGACAGAATCAAATCAACGGAGTTTACTTGCAGCCAAAAAATATGACAAAAAATTGCTCATCTCGAGCTCAAAAATAAAACGCAATAAAAACAAGAATTAGAACCGTTGATTTGATTATATCTTATACAGGGTTAGTTAGATAAGTTAATTAATCATATCTTATCCATAAACAATATAATATATGAATTATATAATATATTAAATATAATAATTTAATTATACAATATTAATTACAATAGATTAAAATTTAATAAATATAATATTAACTATTTGAGTTTAACCGCTCCAACACTTAACAAAAATTTAAGAGTTGTTAAAGTTAAAACATTAACTATAAATTTTTAACTATAAATGTTTTAATTTTAAATTATTATTTTATATTAAAATAATTAAAAAATATAATTTTTTTTCAGATTTATAAAAAACAGACTTCATTGGCTAAAGTACATTCAGATAAGCAGCATTTTAATGTTTCAACATTACATTCAAGCTTAGACGAATCCATTTCATTCTCCAAAAATTTGGAAGATAGTTTCAATATTGCTTCTTTAATGGCATTAAAAAAACAAAATGACTGCCCATATATCAATCGCAGTGTGCTTATGGTTGACTCACTAAACACAAAAAGGTGTGTTTCCTTTATCTGCAAAGAAAAAGATGCAGAATTCGAGATTGAAAATCTCTCGAATTTCTTAAACACATATAAGAATAAGTTTAGTGAAAAGAAAATTTTACAATATTTATTGCTTTGTTCTTATAGTCATTACAATAATGCTTGCGGTTTGCACTTTAAAAATTTCAGATTTAATGAGAATTCATTCACCGCATACGCTTATTGTACAGATCCTTCCTGCAACACTTATATCTTTAAAGGTTACT